CGAAACCTTTTGCAGAAGGAGCCCTACAGTTACTTATAGTATTGAAGTTACTACTTTTTATGACTCCTAGATCTTAATAGTCCATTAATTAAGGTAATACGACTCCACATATTGTGTAGTTTTATGAACCGTCATAGTTATTTTTAATTACATTACCGCACTCTTTTTAGAATTTAGTTCTATTGACCACCTATCTGTTAATGCAGCCATTGAATTTAGATCATCCTGTAATATTATTCTATTTGACATCCTCTTCAAAGGTCACCGAATTTTCAATGTCATCGGCAAAGAGTAGAACGGATGACTGCTACAGTTGATAATTTACTTACGTAGAGTAAGAAAAGAAGAGGACCAAGGTTTATATCTTTAGTGGCCCGTTTGATCTGACTCCTTTTAGAGCGTATAAATGTTTGCTATCGCCTATTCTCGTATATAATCGTCGACTTGAATCGCGTTAGTCAATAACGGAATTAAATAAGTCGAATAACGAGAATTGACTTGATAATACATATATTTTGTATATGAAGCGATTGAAACAGAGCAAAGCAAAATGACACGTATGGAAGATGGCTGGGAAGCCAACTCCATTTCAAGCCGGGCATTACTCAATATTTATAGGCAGACAAAACAAACTACAGACATGTGATGAGTCATGGGACATGAAATGTACACACGTATACGCGCGTATGAAAACAGTCAAGGCCAATAAGCGAATAATTAACAAGGTCAGAACATGACTCAAGTAGAATGGATAGAATGGAATGTCCGGAAACTAGAATAAGACATATTATGGGTAAAACTAATGACTAACACTACATATCCTAAGAAACTCCACTTTTTACAGATTCCGACGCTGAGAGAGCTCCATTTATCCTTATCCACTGTTTCCCATCATTGAGAAAGCCGCTTATTCAGTCTACGATTTCATAATGGATTTCAAAACTTTCCAGTTTTAATTTAAGACCCGAATGAAAGACCTTATCAAATTTCTTACTCAGATTTATGAAAGCCACATCCACAGCATTATTTATATCTTTTGCTGAAGCTCAATCTCTTCCAATAAGCGAATTTGTCAGGCATGATGGGTTTTTATTAAAAGCCATATTGTTCCCTGGATAATGGCCTATGCTCTTCAAATATAATTCGAAATTGCCATCGAAATAACCTTTTTCATTAGTGTGACAACCACAGTGGTTAGACTAATGCATCGATAGTTGTGAAGTAAGTTTCTTCTCCCCGCTTTATACACTAGACTGGTTATTACGTCTTTTCAGTCTAAGAAGTCTGGATTGCCACAAAGACATATAAAAGAGTATGGATATAGGTCCACCAGTTACATCCGTTAGGGCTCTCATAATCTTAGGATGAATCTAGACGGGAACATTGTGCCTACTTGAAGGAATTTGAAGACAGTTTCTTTGTCAATAACTACAGGATCCATCGAGGAGCCGCCTAGGTCACGATTAATGGTAGAAAACGCTTTACTAAAATATCATGTTGAAGCTTCAAGCTTTCCGATATGATCTCTTGCCAATATCAACGTATTTTCTGTTACCAAAAGTGGTGGATTCCTTTGTTTGTCTGGGCTGGCCTCCTTATGTATGAGACTAACCTTTTCGGTCCATTTTTTACCTCCTTAACTGTTTTTCATATGAATATCTTGTCTTACTTATCAACGGTTTACGATGATTCCTAAACTTACAATGACTGAACCTATACTGTTCCAAGACTTTAAAGATGAACATATTTCATCGTTCTTCTTGCATCTAAGAAGTTTCTTGACTTGCTTTGTTATTCGTAGTGGACAGATATTTTGTTTACGTGGTACTAAGCATGGTATAAACAAGGACGTAACTGGAATAAATCAACCTGTAAATATGGACCATGCTGTTTCAACTGATGAGCTAGTATCTAATGACTAGCCCTTTTTGTGGCTCACTCCTGAATGACTGATGTGTCTTCTCTCCATACATTCGGGCGAGATTTAACCCGATCGTATATTATACCACCAGCTCTAAACAGCATGATCACTACTTGCTATGAGATTCGGATTCAGATTCAACTTGGGAGGAGTCTGCTTTTCAACACCTTGTTCAATGCTTTGCTGAAGTCAATGTGGACAGTGTCCTCTACTTTTCCATTATCTAACGCCTCTATCTATCGCTTTACTTCAGTAACGAAGTTTGTTGTGCAGAACAATCCTTTCCTGGAACCATGTTGTCCGCTTTTCAACAACTTGTTGGTTTCCATGATTGTTATTAAGGCTTTTTCGATCATTGTTTCCGGTATTTCAACTACGACGCTGGCGAGACTGACGGATCTGTAGTTTGGCGGAAGTTGTCTTGATTCTGTCCTGTGAAGTGGAGTGTCAACTGCATCCTTGCAGTTTATCGATAAATTACCTTTGCCAGATGACATATTCGATATCATATTCAGCGATGCAGGAACGTATTGTGTCAAGGACGTATTTCATCCAGCACTGTTGATTTTTTCGTGTCCACAATGCCAAGGGCCTTTAGTACATCGTCTCGATCAGAGTCATAAATGAGAAGCCGATTTTGTGGATTTGTATCTGGGTCTAGTTCTTAGTCTAGAAGAGGCTGCTGAAAGAAAACTATCCCGAAATAGATTCCCATGGCCTCTTTTTTTCCTGCCCTTCCTCTATCATTTGAGATATGTAGTGGTAGGAGCCCTAACCCTACAATCCTGAAAGTCTAACATGAAATAACTGGGAAACTTGATATTCAACATCTAACACGGAGAGAATGCCAACAATGAGGGGGGAAGAGTTAATTAACTCAATCGGATGGCATAGCTCAGCTATGCAGGTGTGGTTATTTTTGTGTGACTTATGTCTGTCATTCAGATTAAATGCATCGTTCCACCTCCAGCCTAAATGTGTTTTCCAGAAGTAGGTAACATCATATTGATGGTTTTTACGATGGAACGAGTCAGTGTAGTGGTGTGGTGGACATGATGCTGTTATCAGCTCTCAGGAAGATTTGACTTCTGGATTTATTCAGCGAATAATGGATTATCTCCTACACACGTTTCTGGTATGGTGTTGTGTAGGTCACATCGATTAACCGGTGACCAACGTTGATTGTCTGAAGTAACTGTCCACCTTATGGTTACGCGTGGGGCTGCAGCATTGGACGTTGGTACAACACGTTCAGCTGACATATCGTTGGGATTAGTAGGTGGGGGAAGTGCTGCTAGTGAACCACGTCCATCGAATAACTCACCTCATTCTTATCGGTCTCCGTTCACTAAAGTTCCTTTCCTGATGGAAAAATTGTTTGACGGTGGTAAAGAGTTGTGTAGCTATTTCTCGAATGAAGTTATTCCGAGCTCAGGTAATCATCCTAGTTCTTTGATGTTACCACTAGGAAGAGGCATCAGTTCGACTTCACAGTGTAACACGTTAGATAGTTCTAAAACTCACTGTTTACCAGTCCATCCACAGTTTGCGAACCGTTCAACAAATGATTTGTACTCACCTCAGTCATATGATCATGGGGTACCGTTTTCACCATCATCAAGAGTAGGAGATGGATCTAATGTCTTTAATATTGATAACATGTCACCATCATCATCGATTTATCATACTGATGGAGAAATACCTCATGCTGTCAGTCCAGTTCACTATTCTCCATTTAAAACACTTTCAAATCAATCACTTATCTCCGGGATTGTTACTGATATATACCATATTGGTCATTTGTGTGTTATTCTACTGTCATTTTACACCAATTATTAATGTCATGCAAGTCAAAAAGTTGTCGTCAGAGGTTACCATACAGTGTTCAAAATATGCCGAGTTTCCCCTTTGAAACCAGTTATTTTAGACAATCTGGTCAAAATAGCATATTTTAATTGTGTGTGGGATCAATGTCTAGTGTCAGTATTGGTTGTAATATTCATGCTGATTAAAAGCGGTTGACTAGCCTCAATGTGACTATTTAATCGTTATGATCTTACTTTTAAGTCATACCATTGCATTTTTTTCGTGAAATATTCAACGGCGATTGTGAATTTTCTAAGCTAGTACGTTTACAGCCTCGAAGATGATAAAAGGACATGGTTCATTGTTACTCCATCGTCCATACCGGTGTATCAAGATGGCGCTAACCTTAACGTTATCCATGGATCATCAACCTTTAATGGTATGAACAGCAAAACACTGTCCCATCAGGGGCAGTGAAATGATGTTTCTTCAGAGTTTTCCACCTTACAGATGTCGACTTCTAGTGATACAATTTAGTTATCATTGAACTTCCAAGAGTAGTAATCACGTACATCGAAACTTAGGTTGTCCACTGACACCCGTTGTGTTGAATAGATTCTTTGTCACTTGGCTCAACACTCTGAAAGAGGTCAATATAGCCCCCTAAATATAGAGCTTGACTTGGAGCAGAAAGTATAACCACAACTTATTTTACCATTTACTCTTTTGTTTATAAGTATTCCTCAGGAAGTTTATTAGGCAACCAAACACTAGTAAGTATTGTTAAGAGAACACGGAGGTTGTTTAGATTGTAAGAAGGTTAATTGCAAGCTATTCACATCATGAAAGGTAAAGATCCAGTATCTAATGAGTTTCTTTCTAAAGGTTCAGTTCGAGCCTTCGAACCGGTTTCGTGGACCAAACTCAGGTACACTGCATAGTGATAATCGATAGTGCAATAGAAATATTTCTTAGAACATAGACGAAATTACCATAGAAATCGATTGCGTTCATATGTAAAGGGGGACTTATGTCTGCCATAGGACATCGTCAACTGTAAAATTATCTTGTAAGCAGCATTCATTCACAGAGACGAAAACAAAATGATGAAAATAGTAGATCCTGGACACAAATTGATTGCCAAAAATATATCCTGCCATCCGAGAACGAATATATCAGTTAGCTTACGGATAATTGTGATGAAGGTATTGAACGGTGCAATCATTGACCTTGAGGGTTTGTCGCGTAATAGAGGCTGTTTGAAGTTTCTGGGATGTTTGGCGTTCTCGTAAGTTTGTCTTGAGCTTCTAGTCATATATCTTTGTTATTCCTCGAACTCATGTCCTCGCCGATTCTGTTTACTTTGCGTGACATTTTTTGCCCATCATGTGAAACGTAATCAGTTGACATTATTCCTTTTGGATTTGATTTTCCTAGCTGCTTATTAGATCCTTGTTACAATGACTTGTGAGTATACTTCCATACTTTCGTATCTGCCAGACAATACTAAATTTGATTGTGGCAATGTATCGGTTGTTATAGAAATAATTAGTTATTAGTAGTACACAAGTCCTGCCGCTAATATCTGTGATCGTTTCATTATATTTACTGGTAAAACTATAACATATTGACGAAATAAAACAGTTTCAAGGGTAAATTTTGTGTCAGCCAGTAGAAAGAGCTAACCAGACCGACGTCTGTGAAAAATCTCGGAAATTACGAAGTGAGGTCATGGGATTGAGTTGTAACTTAAGTACTGAACGTATTAAGGCTGGCTCTATCATTTCAGTTGGAAATCACCGTACTGCGTTTCGAATCCATCTTAACTACTAGCCGCAGTACTCATAGATTATAGATCCTTACCTAGCAAACCTAATCATAAGATACTGCTCTTGAAATTTTGTTCCACTAGGAAATCATCCAATTCTTCTAAATTCGGAATATAATAAAAGCCACGAGTCTTTGCAACGTCTTTAATTTGGGTTGATGTTTAACAGAGGTGAACTTAATTTTGATTAGTCACTCAGATTCATTGTGGAAAGTATGGGAAGCTGGGTAGCCTTTATTAGCCCTGACAATAGCGATTTCTCAGTTGATCCAACCTTCTTTTGAAAGCGCCGACAGATGGAGCTCTAATGAATTCCACTCGTCGACAATCCAATTGGAAAGTCGATAGTCAGCTGACAAGTGATTTACTGTGAGCTTGTGAACTAATTAAAGTATCCTCATAAATTGAACGATGAGAGGATGTCAGATGTAAATTTATCACTAGGCAGTTTAAAAGCTGATCAAGTTATTTATTTATTTATTTGGACACATGAATATTGGTACAAGAGAGCGCCAATATATATGCGCCACACAAAACAATGAAAATTCGAGCGGAATACAAAGAAAGAAAAAAAAGGTAAGGAGCGCAACAAGAAAAGAGAGAACAATAACGAAGAGATTGGTGTAAGGTAATGTGCTAGTAATCAGGGAACGCAAAGGTACAATCGGAAGAAATCTTTCAGGTAAGGGAGACAGAACCACTTTTTATGAAGAAAGTAAAAGAAGGTTACAGCAGGATCGCCACTGGCTTCTATTCTGAGCCATATCTGATAACGTCTCTAGCCACTGTGTAGCACCATCTCTCGGACCCCAACCAGGGAGTCGTGAAGGACCAACACAAAACAACCCTTTGCAGCTTTCTTTCATGCCACGACACCATGTCATGCACTGACCACCTCTCCGCTTCTTCCAACCAGTCCCAGAGTCGGCAAATAATGCACGACGTGGAATTCTCTGGGACGACATTCGGAGAACATGTCCAAGCCACCGAAGTCGGTGTTTCAAGATGGTGACACCAATTGAGTTATCATCTCTGTGCCCGAACACACGATGCCGAACCTCTGCATTACTGACATGGTGTTGCCACTGAATGTCAGCAATCCTTCGGAGACAGCGATGATCGAACACAGAGAGTCGTCTAACGTCCTCAACTCGGAGAGGCCAGGTTTCACAAGCATAGAGCAAAACTGCTCTCACCGACGCGTTGTAGATCCGACCTTTTACAGCCAGACTAACATCACGAAGGCGCCAAAGGTGGCCCAGATTGGCATAAGCCGCTCTGGCTTTCACTATACGTGCATTGATCTCATCACTCACACCCCCACCAGCACTTATGCAGCTACCCAGATACACGAACTTCTCGACTACGTCTATCTGCTCACCATCCAGGGTGAGTACAGGATTGGAATCCTGCCAGTCTTGTAGAAGTACTTTGCACTTCGAAGGTGCAAAGCACATACCATACCTACGGACACTGATTGCCAACTGATTAAGTGCGGATTGCATGCCTTGGGCATTATCGCACAGTAAGACAATATCGTCCGCATACTCAAGGTCGAGAAGTCTTTCTCCAGGCAACAGATCCACACCACCATTACTTACATTCATCAGAGCTGTTTCCAGAATGTCATCGATGGCAAAGTTGAAGAGGAATGGTGAGATTGGGCAACCCTGCCTAACCCCACTGCTCGAATGGAACAATGGAGAGAGGTGGTTGTATGCCCTCACTCTGCCTGAGGTGTTTTTATATAGGGCTTTTAGGATGTTAATAAACTTCTCAGGCACACCCTTCTTCAATAGACAATCCCAGAGAACAGTCCTGTCCAACGAATCGAAGGCAGCCCTGATGTCAAGAAACACTACGATTGTTGGCCTTTGATAAGTATGGCGGTGTTCTAACATTTGGCGGAGGGTGAAGATATGATCAATACATCCTCGACCAGAACGAAACCCAGCCTGCTCCTCGCGAGTCAATCTTTCTCGGGTTTTGAACAACCTACGAAGTATGACGGAAGCCAATAGCTTGGACGCAATCGGAAGTAGACTTATCCCCCGATAGTTGTTACAGGAACGACGTGAACCCTTTTTAAAGATAGGGACAACTATCGACTCATTCCATGACGTTGGCACACTCTCTAGTTCCCAAACCTTTGTAAACAACGTCGTCAATTCCTTAGTCAAAAAGTCACCACCATCTTTAAAAAGAGCCGGAGGTAAGTCATCTGGGCCAGGTGATTTGTAACGCTTCAAGAGTTGGAGTTCCTTGCGGACTTCCTCCTCGTTTGGTGGATCAGTCGTCACCGGCCATGGAGGGCAGGACAGTCTGACCGATGTTGCCGGAGCAGCAGGCCAGTTGAACTGCCCTTCGAAAAATTCTGCCCATCGTCCAAGACGTCGATGGATGTTAGTGATTGGCATCCCATCATCCTCGCAGATTGTTTCACTCACACCAGACTTCTTGCTGCCAGTGGCTCGGATGAGCTGGAAGAGCTTCCGGTAGTTACCAGATGCAGCTGCTGCTTCCAGCTCATTAGCACGCATCGACCACCAGGCTTCTCGGTCCTTACGCAAGCTTTGCCCAATTTCCTTACGTAACATCCTTCGTTTATGGTCAAACTCACGGTCACCCGGAGTAGACCGACGGGCTTCAATGAGTTGTAAGGAACCAGAAGAAACCCAGTGCTTAAAAGCGGGACGTTTCGCAAACCCACAACTGACTGTTCCCGCCATTTTCATGGCGTCATGCAATTGCAACCAATGCTCATCTATACTTTTCGGTGGAGTGGTAGCTAGCCTAGAGGCTAGCTCGGTTCGATACTTACTTGCAACAGAAGTTGCAACCAGCTTGCTAACATCAATCCGTTGGTGGTGGTCACTTCGTTGTCCACTGAAAAGTAAGGCAAGATTGGCGCAGACCAAGGCATGGTCAGAGTCCAGATAGGTACTCCAAAAGGAGCGGCAGTCTTTACACAACCACGCCAGCGGTAGCTGATCGCGATGTGATCAATCTGAGTCCAGGCTTGAGATGCAGAGGGAGGACGCCAGGTGGCACATCGGCGATGACTGTGCCGAAAGTTAGTGCTAGCCAGAAACAGGTTGTGGTCTGTGCACAGTTGCAGTAGACGGTCCCCGTTATCTGACCTGCGACCAACGAGTCCCCATCGGCCACCTAAACGACTCTCTTCTGTGCCTAGACGCCCGACCTGAGCATTCAAGTCTCCGGCTAGTACTACAATATCTGTCGAACGCACTTTCTGGAGAAGAACAGATAACTGGTGGTAAAACTCATCCTTGATTGCATCCGGGCTGCAATCTGTCGGGGCATAGGCGGAGATGACGAAAAGACATCGTTTCTCACGCCGATTTCTTCTCACTTTGATGGAACTTTCTAATCTAACAGCACATAACCGACTGTTAATGGGGATCCAATCGACTAGTGCTGCCTCAGCTCTAGCGCTTAGTGCGACACCAACGCCAGCAAGACCAGACGAAGATGCCACAGGGTCCCCGGATAAGCGCACGTAAAACAAGCTTTTCGAAGCGACAGATGGAGATCGAATTTGTAGTACTTCGCCAGAGTCTTGAATACGGGTCTCGGATAGACAACAAACATCAATATTAAGACTTTCCAAAGACATAGCCAGCCCTATCTGTTGACCAACCTGCATAAGTGTGCGAACGTTGAAGGCAGCCAGTTTGAATGGTGCACGTGGTTTCAGAAAAACTGCTTCAGTACTCATATTCGATGGTAACATACAATTTTCAACCGGACAGTGACTCGAGAACGTTTAGATACAGTCGGATTTCCACCAAAGACGAGCCGCTGTATAAGTATAAAAGAGGGTGAATAATGTGGAAAATAATAATAATAATAATAATAATAATAATAATAATAATGACAATAATAGTAATAATAATAGTATTAATAATGACAATAATAGTAATGATAATTATTTGAATCGATTGATTGTTTTTCGGAGCGATAAAAGTAGTTGCCAAAGACATAGAGTTCATCGTTTGTGTGTGGGCTGTGATACTGCCCGGGTGCCCAAACCGAAGCAGGTGGTTTTCTTAGGGGGCCACTCCCCGAGCCTTTGACCTAAAGGTCTAACCCACAAGGCAGTGGAGCATCGTAAGGAGATGCAATCCCATGGTAGCCGGTGACCAACGATTGGTTCATACGCCATTTGTTCCCGCAGGATACTGGAGCCCATGTGCACCATTGGTTTGTGATCCGGTTAAAGCGCCGGACATTCGCTTTTCGTCCTCTCATTTTCGTAAACAACACCCCCGCCACGAGAAGGCAATGAGTAGGACTTCCCTGGCAGAGGCTGTATACGCGCGGCCGTGTGAGAGTATTTCGAGAGGGAGAGCGGACTCACCCCACTCTCGGCCGTACCAGGGCATTCGGGGGTCAAGTTACCTATGGTTCTTCCATATGGCAATAGATTTAGGTTGAGTTCGGCTAGTCGAACATCATACAGGAGCTTCGTTACACCAGGAATAAGCCTAGTTGCAGTTCTTTACTGGTCACTGTTTCATTTTAGGCGGGGGCTAGCTGCTTTTACGCAGTACTCGAGTTTAGGACACACAAATACTGTTAACAAAGTCAAAAAGGGTTTAACATTGACAGCGTATAGTAGTTTTTAAGTTTGGACTGTCAATGACCCCTAAGTCATTGTGTCGTGGTCTAGTAGGTTAAGCGTTCGCGGGGAAAACTGAAGGCCCTAGGCTCAAATCCCGCGAGCGGGATCGTGGGTGCGCACTGTTGAGGAATCCCACAATAAGACGAAACGGCCATCCAGTGCTTCCAGGTTTCTAACAGTGGTCTAACATCAACCGGTTCATGATCCCAAACTTAAAACGTTAAGTAGAAAAGTCTTTGTGTGTCTGGACAGCAAACAAATTGTCATTCACCGTGTGTATCTGTACCTCTGTGACCACAATATGCACCATAATGCACTTGGAAGCATTTATCGGCAACTGCCAAATTCAAGACCATTCAGACAATTTCTCCAGGTCATTTTGAAGCTCTAAGCCATCACTTTTACCGTTTATCGCTCTCCATATCTTGACATCGTCAGCATGTAACAAAACGGATAATGACAGGAAACTAGGAAAGTCACTTACATAGAGGAGGAACAGCACTGGCCCCAAAATTGTACCCAGAGACACTTAGCTGAGCAGTTCCCCATCTAGACAATTTTGAGTTCATCCATACACTTTGTTGGCGCCCAACTAGAACGTCCTTTATTCACATTAACAATTTGCCTCGAAGGCCGCGATATTACTTAACTTATATAACAGCCGGTCGTGAGGAACTTTGTCAGAATCTTTGCTGAAGTCAGTATAGGTAACTTCTGACAATTAAGCGCACAGAAAGTTTAATGGCTTACCAATAAGTTAGTGAGACAGGAATAGCCTGCTCTAAAGCCATTCTGCTTTTCATAAAACAACCAATTGTCGTCTAGATACTTAAAGAACATCCAAATAGTATTTTTAAAAGTGTTAACAACCACTCTAGTTAGGTTTTCGGGTTGATGGTTCTCAGGTTTGTTTCGTGCGTGTTTTGAAGATAGGACTTACTATGGCATTCTCCTAGTCTTTTGGAAATATACTTTGTGTTGCACATGGACTAAAACATAAGCTTAAGGGATTCGCGACAAAATTTCTTGATTCATGTAGTAACCTAAGATGCATTTCATCATATCCTATGGATCCGCCTATATCATGCTTACTTAGCAGACCAAATACATTGGGTACCTTGATGGCCACAGTGTCCAAAGTGTGTGTATCTATGGGGTTTTATGGACTGAAGGGGTCATCCCTACGATATATGCATTCCCAAAGTAATTTGAGCATACCTGAGCTTTACTATAATCTTCCTCCACTAATGATGCAGTACTACCACCTCCTCATAATGCTGGAACGTTGCCTCTTCTCTTAGCCCTTTGGTTCATGTACGAGCATAAGCATTTAGGGTATTCTATAGATTCCCTAACGTTTTCCTTCATACAATCTCCTAGACTTGTAGAGGGTCGAGGCAAAAATATCTCGAGATTACCGACATTGAGATTCCATCTCATCGTTGTCCAGTAACCGTCGGCATTGTATAGTTTTACCCACCTACCTACTGTCTAACTGGAACTGAATCTTTAGTTTCCGAACTCGAAATTATTGGGTTGTATTTAAGGTCATGTTACAGAAATCCAGATTTCTTTTATTCTCTCCCTAACCGCGAAGACATTGAAATCAAAACTTAGTAATACACTGAATTAATGCAAGGTGTAAGTATATACTTCGAAGTTCCACAACAAATATTGTGGGCCCCTTCTATAGCCATAGATTTATATCTAATTTTATTGGTTAATTTATCACAACGAGAACCCCAACTTCTTGAAAAGCCAGCGACAAAGGCATATAACTAATGAAAGTAGGTTAATGTTGCTGGAACTTTCCTTTCACAATAAATACTTTACCAAAGCAATCCAAAAATATCTTAAGTTTATGGGATAGTTGTATGTATAACTCGATTGCCAGGTAGAAATTTGTACAATTAGTTTTGAGTCGCAATAGGTATGAGGACTAAGTGGGATTACCCACTTATATTTCATTGTCACTCAGTTCAAAATTTGGCAGTACCATGTAATGCGAACTATCCCAACAATTTTTGTAACAATAGACAGTTCTGGGTTCCTTTTTAAACTAATTTAGACTAATTTCTAACTTACATGATATTGTCTGAAGCACAAACAATTAGATTACTTATGTATATAACCCTAAATACCTCAAAGCCATATATACAGGGACTCACCTTGGTAAACCAGCTTCCTAAATTCACCTCATATGTGGCCGCCTAAATGTCTGTTTTACTCAGCTTTTTAATGTGGCTACTCCACGGAAATTATCTTATTACGATATTGAGCTAAGGAACGCATTTGAGAAAACAAAGTATCATAACTGTAAAAAAATAATAAAAATCATACAAGAAGAATAGTGTGTCTTACAGTTTAGAAAAAAGCAAGTAAAGGGTGGTGTGATAACTTGAACTGATGTACATATGTGTTAGATTCTACGTTGCGTATGATTGACCTAACTGACTGGTAAGTGAAATAGGCGTAATACATTTTGATGGCGGATCTTGCTAGTTGTGGGCAAGACAATGGAAAGTTAAAACACAACCACCTGCCTCTTTTCTGATCTATGTTTAACAACAACCGTGCATAGTCAATTTCATCACCTTTAGGATCCTATTCACAACGTTGTGATACGGTAAGGGATGCTAATAGTAAAAATATATTTCATTCCTCGGTACCATGTTATAAGCTTGCCACCTTTTCTCCTAACAAGCCTCATCACCAGCAAGTAATATTCAGTAAGAGAGTTGCTAGGATGACGTGCTTAAAGTGATCATTTTACTCCAAGTTTTCCCTCAAGATAACACGAGTATACTCTATCACTGTCTGCGAGTACACTGGACTTCTCATCCAATGGAAATTGATAAAGCAGTGAAAATTACATATATACTTGTTCCCACCAAACCCAGTAAATTAAGGACTATGAAATTCCTTATACTTTTGTGAGCTAACGTTATTTTACTGTGGTCCAAGTTTTCGTCTGTATTTTGATATTTATCTGTTTGTTAATCTTTAAGCTTCTCATTGCTGGTTTTTTATTGCTTGTAGTTTCACTCATTTACTTTTCCCCTTAATTTTCTCTCTGTCCTGATATATGTTGTAAATTTTACTGAACAATACCAGTTCAATATTTTCACATTTATATCCTTAGACTATGTTGATAACCGAAATTAACGGAATAACATGTCTTTCCTTAAAACATTAGGTCAAAATAAATCCTAAAGCCTCTAACCTTGTCACTAGGTCAGTTTGTACTGGATTCACTAACCAAAATCGTATCTGATCGAATCTCAGATACACCGTGTTTTTCTGAAGAATGCACTTAAAGTCCATTTGTCTAATTTGATAGCTGGTTTAACTCCACAAATGATTAAAAATGTAATGGTAAGCTTTCACGAATTTCTAGGTAGTCGAAAAACACTAAACTTCTCAACAGCATACTTGTTGATTGTCAGTGTATTGTACTATCAAGAACTTTCGTCAACTTGTGGAAGGATCATATCAACTATCCATAAGTACTTTTGGTACCTACCTACTCACTTATCTCAGTTCAGATGATTAGAAGAGTAGCTTCTCCCTAAACCCATAAAGGATTTGGTAGGTATTTTCGTAACTGTAAACCACTGAGTAATCAATATTTTCAGTTACATAGTTTTTGATCCAGTTTAGTCACGTTTGCTTTTTGATTCCTTGCTTCTTAGTATCACATAATTACATGTTTGCAGTCAGACCACGCCCTTGTAATTTATTTGCATAGCTGTCTACTTTTGTTTGTTATCTGGTCTACTCTTCCCTCTTAAGTGATATGCGTTACTGGTCTTTTTTAGTCAAACGTTAAATATATATGTACATAATAATGAAAAACTTTCACACTGGTATAAATTATAGGTTCGACGTCTAAGTACTTCTACTCCGGTGCTGGCACTTATACAGGTACGTTCCAAGCATATTGTGTTTGGTTTTTTTGAAAGAAAAGTTTTTATTTGTATAATGATTTATTATGTCTTCATTGGGGATGGATTTACGTATATATGTAGTCATATGCGCGATATATTTTGAGCAAAAACGAAGTAGTCTGTTGACAACCGTTTTCATACTAAAACAATAAGAAACTCACTTTCAAAGTTCGTCTAGAAATAAGTTTTATTTATTTGGAAAAATTTCAGCAATTAGTTATTTCTACGTGAATAAACTAATTTGTGCTATATATATCCCTCTTAACCTCGTACATATTCATCGACTTAATTTGCATTAGTGAGTAAAAAAACAAAGTACGAGAATGGTTTCCAGATACTGATGTTTCATACGTCCGTTAACTCAGACAGACAGTTCCATAATAAGCTGGATATTTGGACGGGCTTCGTTGGAACGTTTTAGCAAATTTGTCGCTTGTTTTTGATTATTACATACGATGAAGATATCATCAACATATCACTTCTTGAAACCATAGACGTGATTTCCTATCATTCTGACATCCTACCTCTACCAGCATCAGGATTCAAACGACTGTTTATCATGTGTACAAAAGATGCTCATTTCCAGTTCAACGATATCATATACCGACAAACTAATGGTGTAGCAATGGGAAGTTCGTTAGGTCCTATCCTAGCAGATATTTTCATGGCTAATCTCAAAAGAACCAATCTCAAAGGAACGATTGATGAAATGATGTGTTATTCGAGGTATGTTGATGATACCTTCATCGTATGTAATAATCAGCAACATGCAACAAATCTGTTAAAAATTTTCAACGAAGCCCATTCAAATATCCAGTTTACCATGGAACATGAAAATGAAAAAAAGTTCCATTTTCTCGATATCCCAACGAAACGAAGGAAAGATGACACAGTTCAATGTTCAGTTTATAGGAAAGACACATGAAATGGAATTTATCCCAATTTCAATAGCTTTGTCCGATCATTTACTAAAAGGCATTTGTTAAAACACTTTCACAGAACAGAACGAATATGTACTGCCGGTACACTTGAAGAGGAAGTAATGAATGTTTAAAATGTTTAAAGAGTAATGGATACCCACTGAAACTTGTTGAGAAATATGGAAAACGTGAAGATAAAAAACCCAAAAAAACTACAGTAAATAAAAAACCCATTTTTATTCAACTTAAATTCAAAGGTGATGTCACAGGGTCACTCACATGAGACTAAAAACTGCATTGACGAGAACTTATCCTGCAGCTAAACTGATTGTCCTGTCCAAAACAACATGTTCTTTAATACAATCAGAGGTCAGTAGGTATCCCTTCAATGGTATCACTGACTGTGTATACAAGTTTACATGTCTGCCAAATCAGTTACATTAGTTGAATAGAAAGGAGACCCTACGTTCGATTCAAAGGACATATTCCGAAAAATCTAAAGTCAAACGGATTAAAAGCATTCAGCAACGCCATCTCAAGACATCTCCTTGACAAAAGACATCAAACTGATACACCATTTGACATTCTTCAGATACTGACTGCAGACAGATATTGGGATCTTGTTCGGTCCTCGCTAAAATCTGTGTCCTGATCTCTGCATCTGCTGCAGATTGTAACCCACAGACAAAAATAAGACATTTAAACTGACCTGGGGACACTTCTTGTAACCGGAACCGCTCACATTCCCGGTTCACGATGCTTTCATACGTCGCATAATCGTCATGTGGTTTTTTTACAAACTGGAGACACTAATATTTAGTGTGAAAAATTAATGATCTTTCGCCAAATATACAGTTTCTCTAAAGGTTATGTCGGTTGGCTTCTTTGGAAGAGTAAAATTACAGAACTTTTCATGTTCATACACTCCGAGCTTCCGTAGTAATAATCTTTGTTTCGAACCTTCATCTCACTCTTTATAATTCTTCATAAACAGATCCTCATTGCGCTTAAACCACGCCACAAAAGTAATTCTATTTTCTGGATTAAATCTAAATTCATTTATTGAATTAGCAATAGAATCCGAAGTCATAGTAGAATTAGATACCTGGCTTCTTAGGGATACTGACATATTCCTGACCAATAATTTGATGAGAGCATTTTGCTGTTGTAATAAAGATTTCAGATCATCTGGTTTATTGTTACAAGATCCATTTTAACTGAATATATAAGCGTAGATCCGTTCTAACCACTACTATAACGCTAGGTTTTTCTTCGTCTTTACAAATAGGACGTTAATTTGCCTTAGACGAATATTTACTCTAGATTCCCTCTCAGTGTCTATTATACAGGACTTTAACACGATTCAGATCAAGAACATGTGATTAGCCTGACTAGAATGTAAATATATTTCCACACCAAAAACCGACAACAAGCCGACACAATCCAACAACAATCCGTCAACCATTACAATAATAATAAGGATGGGAGAAGATAACTCATATAACGCCTGTCAGACTATCTACAAGTCTGACTAAGCAAACAACCGATTATGATCATTCTCGATTACATATTATATAGTACACATGATGTTGAGTCTTAGCATTTCACTCGGTGCGTGGCCTCTGAATTGTAAGCGTATATACAGAAGCTTTTTATTTACAGTTGGGCATTCTCTATGCTGTCTTTTATTGGCTATGCTTTTATTTATAAATTTCTCGGGATATCCATTCTCCTTCAGGGTTATGTATAATGACTTTGTTTCATCCTCAATCGTATCCACAGAGCATATAGTCTTGATTCTATGATACAGTGTCTTGACAAGGTTCCTTTTGTGTTGTAGAGGGACAAAACTAGGAAAGTTTGTATATTGACCCGTCCAGGTACTTTTCCTGTTTATGTTTGTTTTTAGCGACCCGTCCTTCCTCCTTGTAAGTAGAACATCTAGAAAGGCTATTCTACCCCCATTTTCCTTCTCCCATGTGAATTTTATGGACGGGTGAACTGTATTGAAACGCTCGAGTGTTTCTAGGAAGTCCGTCTGGTTGTTGCAAAGGATAAATGTATCATCCATTTATCGGCAGCAAAATGAAAACTTAGCGATCTCTTGTGTTAGTGGGCCGTTTTCTAATTTAGAGAGTAAAATGTCTGCCAATATGGGACCCAGGGGTGAACCCATCGTGGCACCATCTATTTGTCTGTAGATTTCACCATTGGATTTGAAATGTACATTCATAGTACATTTTAGTAATAATTCTTTGATGATCTCCACAGGGATTGTCGTTTCCTGTTCCTGTTCTCTAAGTTGTTCACAAATATATTCTACAGTTTCTCTGAGTGGGACATTTGTGAACAATGATGCTACGTCAAAGGACATCGTCGTTTGATCTTTCGTGTTTATGTTTTTAATCTTGTCAACGAATTGGAGCACATCCTTAACACTATGTCTCACCAGGGGTTTATGAAGTGGTTTCAAAACGATTACTAACCACTTTGCTACAGTATGATATGAGGAATCGTACATGTCCAAAACTGGCCTTAATGGGATATCCGGTTTATGTATCTTCGGCAGTCCGTATAACCTAGGTAAATGCGTACCTATCGGCTTAATTGTTTCGTATATGTCTGTTGGAATCATCTGTTGATCTCTGAGCTTTTTCAAAGATCTGGTCAGTTCATTCTCTATCTTATTATTGACATCTTTTTGGCTACTGATTTTCTGAAATTCTTGAGGATCATTCAGGATGTTATTCATCTTGTCCATGTAATCTTTTTTGTTAAGTAAGACAGTTCTTGTTCCTTTATCGGGTTTTGTGATAATCAGATTCTGGTCACTAATAAGTTCAATAATAAGATAGAGAATGAACTGACCAGACTATATGCTTTGTGGATACGATTGAGGACGAAACAAAGTCATTATACATAACCCTGAAGGAGAATGGATATCCCGAGAAATTTATAAATAAAAGCATAGCCAATAAAAGACAGCATAGAGAATGCCCAACTGTAAATAAAAAGCTTCTGTATATACGCTTACAATTCAGAGGCCACGCACCGAGTGAAATGCTAAGATTTAAGTTAAGCACATTAATTCAAAGGACTTTTAATGAGGGTAAACTACAACTAATTTTTTCCACACGACCAATAATGACTCCGAGGTTGAAAGATAAATTTCCTGGACTAGCCACCTCCTTCTGTATCTATCAATTCAACTGCTCCTGTGGAGCAAGTTATATTAGCAGATGTTCTAGGAATCTGTACATTCGAGCTCGTGAGCACCTCCCCGTGTGGCTAAGCAAGTTGTAGTCAAAACTGTTAACAGGTCCATCTTAGACCATCTAGTTCAAACAGGACATACAGCCAACATGGAGCAATCTTTTGCAATAATCTATCGTGTTAACAGCAGTCTACCTAATTCCGTCAGACTGCGAATCTACGGACGGCTGAAGCAATTGTTATTCAGATCAAAAAGCCAGAGGTTTGCATCCAAAAGAAATATGTTCAGCCACTCCTTTTATCCTGAACAACTTTGGAGCCAACTAGTTAATAATTAATTTTATAGTATGGTGACGTAATCTGATTAATGTTCATTTTATGTCCCAAACTTATCTTATTATTATTATGATTACACTTGATAACCTTTTTGAGGAATTTATTCAGTATCCACCCCTAAATCTACTATATCTGACCTAATTCATATTATTCTACATATTACATAATTTCCGATCTTTATTCCATTATTTTCTCTCTTATCGCACAATTTCATTTCACTTATAAACTGATCCAAGTTAACACTATATTAAACAGCCCCAACATTAACGATGTGAATTGATTTTATATAAAAAAAAACCAACAATTCTCAATACACATATTACAATTTCCAAATGATGTCTTGAGGGAGGTTGATTATGAATACAGTGGTCTTGAGTGCTGTTAGAGGTATGAGGGCGGTTATCACTTTCCGGTTGCCCACACCGTGGAAAAGTTCTTCTGGAGGTGCCTGAAAAGGAAATTGGATTAGAGGTGGTCTTAGTGACCTGGGAGCGTGACCGCAGTGCCCAAGGGACAACTTCCTGGGGTCGGTCACATACGACCTTTCTATGGGTAATTTTTGTGTTAGCTCTGTACTTGTTGAGACCTTACCGCCGGAGACGGATATCCATGGGATAAGGTGAGGTGTGCATTTTTAGGCTCGACCTTTTCTAACCCCATCCCCCCTTGTGGGAAGGCAGCATCGCTGTTATGTTGGTTGTCTGAAGGAGACACCTTACTGCCGTCATACCTCTGTACAGTCAGCAGTACGACTTCGCCTTCGAACCTTAGGTTTGTTGCTTTTAGTCTTACCGCTCTTCAACCGACCTGTCTGACATGGTAGGACCTTGAGAAACGGTTGTTCCAGCCAGTATAGCTCGGTTGCTTCATCACGATAGGCAAGCCCGACCACCACGTCAAGGTAGCAACAACGGTCGGGTCCAAATGATATACTCTGCCTTAAATATGGCCAATTTTATGGATTATTAATTTGGATTTATAATTGTAGTAGAGTACCTGATGAGAAATCAGATTTTCTTTGTTTGTTTTTTTCAATCAACTATACGTTTCTTCTGTTCTTTTTTTTTTGTTCTACCAATTTTTTTTTATAACACGATCACTATTAGCCTCCTATTCAAGTGTTCGGTTTAGAAGGACGTTATGCTTCTGCTTTATATTCAGCTGCTACAAAACAGAAAGCATTAGATAAAATTGAGAAAGATATTCAATTAATTAAGAATACACTTAAAAATGATGTGAAATTACGTGAATTTTGTCTTGATCCAAGTTTACAAAGATTAACTAAAATTAATGGAATTGGTCAAGCTCTAAACAAATTAAAAGTGAATGAAGCTACGAAAAATTTATTTGGTAATTTAACTTTTGATTTTTATAAAGATAATTGTGATAATAGTTTATTTTCTTCACAAACACTCGTAAGCTACTAGTATTTGACCACAGATGCCTTAGGAATATTTCTGGCGTCTGTTGGTATCTATGGGTAAGTAATTGTGAGGTTAGACGCATGCTATTAGGGAATGATGGTAAATCAGTTGATGAGATTGTGAATCTTGATCGACTGAGATGGTTGGTTCACGTGTAACGTATGCCTGAACACCGATTACCACGGCGTGCAATGCTAACCGGTGCTGGAGATGGTTGGAAGAAAGTTAGGGGCGGCCAAACCAAGACGTGGCATCAGTACTTGAAGTCATTAACTTCTAGTCTGAGCCATGTTTGTAGATGCAGACTGCTTGGTTGGGGTCCGTATGACTATCGTAACCAATGGCTGGAGACTCTTGGTGACATTGCTCAGAATCGGTCACAATGGCGTCGGTGTATACACTCTCTATCTTCCCTTAAACTAAGAGATTAAAATCGCTTCATATCTTCCTTTCTACGAACTAATTCTTTCTTCCTGTACTATGTCCTTATTGCAATCTTTCTTTTATACTTAAAAGTGTGTAGTACATAAAACAGTTAAGCAAAATCAATTTGTGCATTTTCATGTTAGATTTGTAAGTTGTTATTTCCTTTAAGAACTTAAAACTCATATTGACCATGGGCTCAAAATCAAAGTTTTCTAACCTATTTAGATAATTTCTCTGAATCAACGAACTCTATTTAAACATATGGATCACTAATCTTCTTGGTTTAGAAAAACAACACACCTATCACCATTACATCAAAGCAATCAGCTTAAACGTTCTTGAAAGATGTCATAAATACGAAATTATATAAAGAAATTACATAAAAAGAGAAAGCAAATCTGTAATTTTGAAAATACCATCGCAATTAGGGACACTTTACAGGATAATTTTGATGTATCGTGATTATTATTATTATTATTTACGTCAGCAAAAATCATTTATGTCATCCACTTCTGAAGTGTGGTTTGTTTTTAACAAATAGTGTTGGGAAAGCGTTAAGATTACAAGGGAAATACTCTTACGGTGATTATGCTTACAGGTAGTACTAGTTATTTCAAGATCCCAAATCCGTCTTGTTAATGAGTCCCAACCAGTTTGACACACGGAGAGTCCACCTAGGGGAGTTGGAAAATCCTGATTCCAAACCAATGGTGCACATGGGCTCCAGTATCCCGAGGGAACAAATGGCGTATGAACCTATTGTTGGTCAGCGGCTGCCATGGAACTGCATCTCCTCATGATGCTCCACTGCCTTGTGGATCAGACCTCCAGGCCGAAGGCTCCGGGTGTGGTCCCTAAGAAAACCACCTGCTTCGGTTTGGGCACCCGGGTAGTATCCCAACCCTCACACAAATCGAATCATTTATGTGGCGCATATCTATTTGATGCCCCTTGTACCAATGTTTGTGTTTAAATAAATAGTGTGAGACCTAGGTCTGAGGTTTAATATTGATGACCACCTAAGATCAAGGCATTTCACGGGAGATGTCTAGTCACTTAGACTAGTGACAATATTGTAGCTTTGTTGATAGAATTCGATCAACTTTAAAGACTGGAAAAACATGATAGTGATCACTAATCAGTGGTCAATAATGTACTACAGTTTATAATATGTTATTGATGTGTGTTTTTAGATTATTAGAGGGTTTACCGCTCTTCGTTTTGATTCACTATGTGGTTTGCTTATTCTCTTATTTTTAACCAGTTATACTTGCTGAAAATGGTCGTTTATCTAAAATTAATTCAGTTATTGACAAATTTGAACAAATTATGACTGCCTATCGAGGTGAAGTTAGCTGTACTGTACGAACTGCGAAACCTCTAGATAAAACATCAGAAAATGAATTACGGAATGCCCTTAATGGATTTTTAAAACCCGGCGAAAAATTACAGCTAACTTTAGAGGTAAGTGTTTATTTATCATTTGTTGAATGCATAGTCTTCAGTTGGCCATAATTAATATAAATTAGTCGAAGTTAACACAACACAGTAAAATGAATAACAAAGGAGCCGAAGTAATAGTAAGAAAGACTAAACATCGGAGAATATGATTCGAAAAAATGAGCTGATTTTGAGAAATAAACAAAATTTCAGCTCAAGACTTTACAGGGTAGGTGAAGAATGAATCCATCTACATCTGTGTGACCTAATCTTAGTCGTGTCATCTAAGCAAATAATCAACCAGTTATTGTTACATCTATCAACATAGCTCAGAAAACTCCCAATGACAATATGAACTCAGGTCACATTGTTGTGTGATTGCCATAAGTTTTCTTCCAACTTATTTCTACTTCAGCCAGCATTGAGTGCCAAGTTTACGGTGGCTGGACTTGCGTAACATGTTTCAGTCCATAAAGTCTCACATTGTTATCGTAAAATTTACCCAGGAATCTAGGCTTAATATCAACACTACTCATTCATTAGTATCAAAATACCTAAACAATGCTCTGAAGATACCTATAATCAAATACTTTTGGCATACAAGTGTTTTATAGCCATAGAATAACGCAAAACTGACTGCTGTGTAGTATACTTGTCCCTCTTTTGATAGATGAAAATCGCACCCGCTCTTCCAGTGATGCCGTTTGGCAAAAGCCAAGTTAGGTTTCTAAATATGTGCCAAGATATAGTCAGCTATCAGCACTGGTGATTCTTTCAACATACATGAACTGATCAACACGCTTAGCTGCTTCATTCTAAACGATCAATCTAAGCAATGACACAGACTAGTTCTAAAGCAACGGGAGGGAGAAAGCCTCATTATCACCCTAGACTTTCAAGAGACTACATTATGTCAGCGTTTTCATCAAGCTAAACTATGTAATCTGTGTACTGCAGCAATGAGATCAATCCTTAAAATGTTAGATGACTTCTATGATTTCTAAAAAGGGGTATCTATAGGGACACTAGGATAGTTGTCAACCCTGAAAAGTATCATTTGACATTGTCAACTCTTATTTATTTATTTTATTTATTTGAACACATAAATATTGGTACAAGAGGGCATTAAATATATATGCACCACACTTACTACTGTCAATATCGAGGGAATCCACACGGGATGGACATGTGCCAATAAGAGACTGATCAATGCCAATCCTTAACATCTGTGTGAAGATACAAACAACATATATATCTATGAATTAAAGTTATAATAAATAGATGTTTATTTTATGTATCACTTGTTTACTAACACAAAATTTCTGTGTTTTTTTTTTTGTTTCTCTGTGCGTCTATTTTTATTAATAATTTAGATCGATCCATCGATTATTGGTGGTATGGTAGTTAGTATCGGTGATCGTTTTGTTGATATGTCAATTGCTCGAAAGATTCGCTCACTTCGCGGAATAATGGAACAACCAATTTAAAAAGTTATATATGTCGAATTTTGAAAGATAAAAAAAATATATAGTTATATATATAAAATATACATTGGATCATTTGACTTGTAGTCTACTATGTAATTAATAATAATTACCTTTGAAAAAAAGTTTGTATGATATTGTTATTTTTATGCTGATTTTGTTTTCAATCAGTCATAGAAAATGCGGCATTTAGCATATATATGCTTCGATTCGTGTTGTCACAATGTCTTGTGGACCGCGGGGTGGCTACTCTAATTTCTACCGACTGACCAACTTCAGATATCCTAGTACACGACCCCAATACTGTTCCCCAATCCCCAATATATCAGAACACGAACCGTCGATGAAATTGTTTATGGGGTCAGAAGAAGAATAAGAATAGGAATAATACTTTATAGACAAAAGCATATTTATACAGTTAGGACTACCATAAATATTGACCAATAAGAAAGTGACACCATTTCACGTTCAAGAATAGCATTAGACTTGACAGGATAATTTCGGGATACTTTTCTGAATATTCCAACACAATGTATTAGTACAAAAAGCTGCACACCAGATTAATATAAGTAGTCATAGTATCTATGGTAGTAAGAAATAGTGGGCATATTATTTAAAAAACAGAACAAATTTGCATAACAAAAATGTATAAGTATTTTAAGACATCGAGTGAATAAATGTAATCCACTGCAGCCGATTTTGAGCCATGTCATCCAAAATCTCCATTCATTGATTACAATAATTGCGTAGGTAGTGTACACTTAATAATACAGTCCGATTCAACAGTCAATCACTGCATGAATTGATACAATCTGCATTTAATAATCGTTAGCTTCCTTCACTCTTACTCAAGAAGCCATCACGTGTTGATATATGCAGTGATAAACATATGTGACAGATGTCCCAATTACATTAGTCGATGGAGATTCAATACATCAACCGATTTACTGTTTATTCGGTACTACTTGTCTTATATTCAACATTGCAAATTAATTAATTTACAATGGTTTAGACTATCCTGTTGTTGATATTTAATCATCCAAAACTCAGGAGCTTAGTGGAAAATGCGTCGGCGTTTGGAGCGAAAGGTACTGGGTCTGAGTTCCATAATGGACATCAGCGATGGGATCCAGGTGTATTCAACTGACCAGTCCCAAATAGCATGAGATGCGTGTTCTGGATTTCTCATACTAAAATAACAGGCAGCAAAATGACCAAATCCTGTCTATTATCGTAATCATTGGGTACCAGTCTGTCTGTTGCTTTTTATAATTTGAAGGACGATTCTTATCGACATTCACGATGTCAATGTGGTTTTTTTATTTACAATATGTCTGGCCATTTCCAAAAGCCTGTTGTTACTCGGTATTCATAACGTCTCTTACATAGTAATAAGTATACACACATAATGAAAGCACAAGTTTAGAAGCAGATGTTGCTTTATCAATGAGAATTTAGACCACTACTTGGTCGATCAATTCAATTATAATCTACGCCATTACTGCTTGTTATACTGTTGGGATATTCAGGAAAATATCCCAAAAATTATCCTGTTAAGCCTAACGTTATCCTTGGACATGAAATGGTATCATCTTATTGGTCAATATTTGTTTAACGTGTCATTTTCCTACTGGCCATTATTGTACAATGTTATTTTCTATTTTGTGGTCTGCTTGACTGGTATATAAACAAAGTATGTTTGAAATATAATGATTCATATATCCGAGGCTGTGACTTGTGTTCTGGACTCAACCGGCTGGGCTAGACAGGGAAGCGAGACTAATCAGAACCCTAGGTCGTTCTACGTGTTTGCGCGTCTTTGGTCCGATCAATAATTCGCTACCCTTAATCAGCAGCATTATTTTTCACATTATAACATATACAAGCTCGAAACTGATAATCAAGCAATTGCAAAATAAATTATATTTAATAATAACACGTTATGATAATTTGCTGACTGTTCCACGAACGTAAAACGACCTTATGAAATCGCCCCCATCTATTAGCGAATCAAATGCAAATGAAATAGGAAATCAAATCAACCATCATATTTAGTTTTGTATCTCACTGAATTCGCAGTGTCCTTGAGAGGCGCTAAAATAACTACGCTCAACACAGGAGTTGTTTTCTCATAAAATAGGTAAGCATACCATCATCATATCCACTATATAGTTCCATAAAGGATATGTTTATCAATTAGAAACGTTTTAATGACGCGATATACATAAAAGCTGTCTCTGTATTTAGAATTTAACCGAAAAATCAGTTGTATCTCGGATCTGATTAGTTCCTTGGAAGAGTCAAGTTTTGATAAAGCATTTATCTGGTGTATTTGATCTATAAACAAAATAAGTGACAATAGTTGAAGTTCCTAACAAACTGTATCGTCTAGTATGCTCATAAAATGAAGTAAAACTATTGATCCAAATTATGAATATTATATAAGTTTATCCAATGGTATAGTTTATTCGTTGGATAAAATCATTCGTTTGAAGAATAGATGCTTTACTACTCTTATAACAAAATAAATACAATTCATAAATTTGACCTAGCTTTTTCAGTGGTGAACTAGAGTCACCATCGAAAATTCAAATCAACACGACACAATTGCATCGATAATCTTAATTATGATGCATAATAAGAACTTCACGGTATTCTACATGCCTGCAACGATCTACCAATCAAAACAGGAATAATTTTACTGTCATTCTGTCAATATGTATCACGGCATAGTTCAGTGAACTGAAATAAATGAACAGTATACACACAGAAAAGTATAAATTACAACTGTCATTGGTTTGTTACGTAGATTAGGTGAAAAGTAAATAATGTATTAAGGTAAAGAAATCACCTGGTTTTGAATAACTTATTTTAATGTTATTCTTATTCCCATATATTATCCTAATATCTAAAAGAAGTAAATAAAACACCATTTAAATGTGTCAACTAATAAATGGAACTTGTTGGTGGATATTCACATTCAAAATATCATATATTGAGAAGAAATTAATCCTGAAAATTCCCAATGATATGAAAGTATTCACGACCAGTCAGTCTTCAACGGACTTTTATTCGTATTCAAATGTTTAGTTGAACAAACCTTAAAATCAGCCGTGACCGGTGGAGCTAATCCGTGTCGGATAGAGACAGGTATCTACCTCAGTACAATGAAAGATGCTCGCGCAATTTCATGGATTGGTTGACGTTAGACACTAACACCATTGGATGCCGGCTCAGTGGTCCAGTAGGTTAAGCGTTCGCGTACGACCGAAATCCCTTGGCTCGAATCCCGCAAGAGAGACCATGGATACGCACGGCTGAGGAGTCCCACAACAGGACGAAACAGCTGTCCAGTGCTTCCAGGTTTCCAACGGTGGTCTAACATCAATCGGTTCATGATCTCAATAAAAAAATAATCACTGAATTCTGTTGCTCCGAGATCTTTATCGAACAAATTTTCATGACAAGACTTATGACAAATGACGAAAGGGTTGTTGTATTCTGGTTCGAATAGTCTTTCGACTATTATCCAGCAAAAAAACAACAACGAAACACGACTGTTTTACCCACTAAACCAAGTGTATATAATACAACTACTACTAATCACAGACTTTAATACACAATGATATATCTTTCTTCAAAGAGGGTGATTCGCAGAATCTATAAGGACTTTAGTATACAATCATTTTACAATACACGATGATGATTCACAAACATTATATATATATATATATATATATGTTTGTGTACATAATAATTTATTTTCACAAATTTACAAATAGGGAAAACAGAACAAAATAAAAACATTAGATCTTATTTACTGTTTATTACACATTAATAAAACAAAAGCATGATAATAACTGACAGTGAATAGAGAGTAAGAGAGAAAGAAAGAGAAATATAATGTACGAATGTGTATATAAATATATTCTGTATACAGATGTGATACATTGGGACTTTATACATATGTAAGTATAGATCGACGAAATTGTCGGTAATAAGATGAAATAGATGGTGAATAAAAGTATGATTAGATTAACAAGTCGAGTAAACAAAGATAAACAAGATTGATTTAACATAAACAAAGATATACATAATACAATATTTACAGTTTATAATTCGGGTCTAAAAAACCATATCTATTTATTTGTTTTTATAAAAGTAACCCGAGATCAATGTATGAATAAACTCGTAGAAGTAAGTAGAAAAACATGGGGCTTTTCGTTTACTTTCAGTAGAAAATCAAATGATTTCGAATTTTTTTTTAAAAAAAAAGTAATAAAAATGTACATTAGGTTGACAAACTACTAATTATCAATATCAGTAGTAATAAATAATGCATAAGCGTGAAGCTGCCAACGGCAATTGTGCACGAAAGAAAAAAAAGAATTTAAATTGATATACAAATGAAATCTGAATGCTGCGTTCAATTCAATTAATGAAATAGGTATTATTTCATTCTTCTTTTGTTTCTTATAAATTCTCTTCTTTGAATTGTTTCATTTTCTGAACAAATAATGCTTCAACAATTTCGGTACAATTAAATTCTGGTGTATCTTTTGGATAGATTAAACGTGAATTAGTGAATAGACGATTCATGTCGAATGAGAAATCTCCTAAAGTTTTGTAAACATCTGTTTTTAAATTTATTATAACGGAGGGAAGATCTAATTGTTTAAAACAGAAAAAGTAAACAAACATTTGACAACACAAATGTACAGATATACATGTTTTTGTAAAAAAAAACAAGCAAATAAATAATGTTCACGAATAGCGCATAAGACCAGATTCAAGGTTTCTTACATTACAACTATATATATATATATATATATATATATATATATATATATATATATATGAGTGTTCCATTCAGCTTCCAGCTGAAGAGGAGATTAGGAAAATACGATGGAAATGGATAGGACATACATTACGCAAATCGTCAAACTGCATTACGACACAAGCCCTAACATGGAATCCTGAAGGGAAGCGGAAAAGAGGAAAATATGAAAAGGATGAATAACAACCGGAAAGAACTGTCCGGGACAAGGTTGGATGGAGAGTGCTGATGAGCGGCCTATGCTCCTTCACGAGGAGTAACAGGCGTAAGTAATATATATATATATATATATATATATATATATATATATATATAACCACTGCCACAGAATCCCTGCTCACTGCCTTCTCGTGGAGGTGTTGTTTACGAAATTGAGAAGACAAAAATCGAATAGCAGCCACTTAAACAGACGGTTGTAGGGTACGCAGAATCTACCTAGGAGAGTTGGAATACCCTAATTTTAGACCATTGTTCAACAAGGGCTTCAGGACTTTGAGACAAATGGTATATTAGATTTTTCTCGGTCATCGGCTACCTCGGTATTGTATATCCTAATATTGCCCCACTGACATGTGGATTAGAATTCCGGGTCAAAGTTTCAGTGAGTGGTCCCCCTGAGAAAACCACCTGCCTCGATTTAGGGACGAGTAGTATTCTAAAAAATTCACAAACTCAATTATTTGTGATATATACATATTTTGGTGCCCGTTTGTAGATCAATAAATATACAATTCTGTATGAAATAATATACAGCAAACAGGAAATAGATACTGATTTTGGTATTCATGACCGTGAAATGTCCATAGTTTTTTTCAATGATAACTTATTAAATATTTTGTAAATATCGACAACTACAATCTTAGAGTGATTTCTGATTACTTTTAATTTAGGAATGGTTCTTGTCACTAATTTAACAATTTTCCAAGAAGAATCATGAAAATCTAGAAGGTTCGATAATATTTTGAGTCTGGCACAAGACTTTTCAGCACTCTACGCAGCATCAAGGACACTAAAGTGTCGTAGTGAATGCCTTCATATGTTACACAATTGAGTCAAAATGTGCTAAATTACACAATTCAAGCAACTCGTGATATGACACGACGATTTTTTTTGGGGGGGGTATTTATGATCTATCTAATACTCGACAGAGCAAAACTTCTGAAGGAAACCACTAATTGGCAGTAAAATCTATACTCCTATAGGCCACTATTTACGTATTAATATTCGAGGAAGAAAAAAACAACAACACATTAACGTTGACAAAGTAATCACTAATTGTGAACAACAGTGATTAAGATAACTTAATGTCATATATAACATGAAGATTCTTTTATTTTGATTTCACATATCATTTGAAAGAAGAAACAAAAAAAAGAAAGAAAGAAAACAATTAACTTACTAAATGAATCATCTAAAGATCTAGCAATTGGAAATTTCAAAGGATCCGGACTATGAATAAATGGCCATGACATTTTATGTTGCTAAAACAAGGTATCCAACAATAAAATTATAAAAAGGAAAAAGAAAAATATAATTAAATTTCAAAATCTACAAACGACAAAAATAGATATGACAATCTTAATAAAAAGTTTATATGTGCCAATAATAACCAGCTTAAACGTAACTGTTAATTAAAATCATATATAAAACTGTAAGTTGAATTCTATGGTAAGACAGTTCTATTCACTGTCATTAGTTATAAGGTTAGTAGAATCTGCAGCATACTGCATGAATCGGTTCAAGCAATCACATCATCATAGCACAATGTGATAAAATCATCAAGATAAATATCAAAAAGTAACTAGAAATATTAAAGAGAAAGAATGTTATATTTGTAAAATCTCAGTGAAAGAATTTGAAGAAAATTCAACGTTTCGCTTGGCAATCTGATTCAAGCTTTTTCAAGGAAATAGTTTTAACAATAGTAGTACAAAACATCAATATATATAGAGAATACAATTCTTAAAAAAGAATGGAAGGATTTCTTGAATAAAAAGTATAATATGATATAATTATGAAACACTAAATTTACAAGAGAAGATGGATATAATGGAATAGCCACATCAAAATAACACAAACGTTCACATATATAGAATGAAACAAATTCGGCGAGACTCTAATTTATGGACGACCTTTGAACGAATCTTATGTAAATTTGAGAAATATTAGCCAATCAGCGAACAGTCAGTATATAGTAAAAATATGTTATACAAAACCAAAGAAAGAAAGTGGATACACTTCTTATACGTGGTTCAGAAACTTGTCAAGGTTAGGAAGAGGTTCAGAGGTTCTAAAATCGTAATCTATGCAATAGAGAAAATCATCCATACGGCTACAGAATAGTCGGCCTCTGAAAGCCATGATAAAGTCTCAAAAACTCTTTCAGTCTCGACCACATAGCCTCAACATTGTTTATGTGCACTCCGGTTGTTGAGTGCACAAAATGCCACTTGTGGATAACGACACGATACACATGACCAAGTCTATGTAGGAGACTGTACGCTCTCCTAACATCCGTATATATTGTAGTACCTGGCTGCAGCCAGTGTTACTTGTGCTTTTATTATCCAGTTCGCAATAATTGTCGTAATTTGCCTTAGTTAAGAATTATATATGGGGTTTTCATCATGAACTGACATCACCTATAATGTCAGAAATTTATTTAGCCAAATGGATGAAAGGCTTTCGCGTTAAAATCCGAGATCTATTATCTTATACCTGATTGATTCGTCCACAAATTATAGTCCCGCCGTTTTATTTGTTATAGCCGCTCAATTATCACGTTTGTACAAAATTCCCTGTGAACCGATCGTACGTTAACATTAAGCACTGAAGTTGGCGCCGTAACCTTAAAATCTCTAAAACGCCTCTGGTTGGCTCGTCCATAAATTAGAGTCTCGCCACAAATTCTTATGAAATAAACATGTAGAATATATAAATGAACTATGAAATTAAGAAAACACTTATAATACTGTTATGACCTTGGATGTCTTGTTTTGCTACCACGCGACCTATCGACCAATCCGGATACGACTTATACGAATCTTCACACTAGGCCAACCAATGACGTTCAACCGGTGTGGGCAGTTTAGCGTCCTTATTGGTCCTATGTCCTACGAGCCCTTCCACTTGAGTTCAGAACAAGATACCAGCTTCCGAATCAGAGCAGATCGTTTATTTCAGGCATACTTGGTTTATATATCAATCACACAGACCGCAACGTACCATAAAATAGGAAATAATATTTGTACACAAATAAGCCCAGAAAGTGGCTGTGAATGTGGGAGGCAGTAGTTAATAAACTGAACATAACTTAAGAACCGTAAATCGTACAATAATAAATTATAGGCCAAAATAAAGATTGTCATAAGAGGGATATAAATATACATAGTGTAATTGTTGAGTAGTTATACAATAAGAATATTTATAGAATATTAGTCCATGAATAGTCCTCGGAAGTTACCTGTAATTTAATCTCCACTCGGATATAACAAATACAAAGACAAAACTCTTTCAAGCTATTTTCATGTATTCGAGTACAACCAAAATCATACAAATATATATATAGAATGGGGGAAACTCACTTTAATTTCTTCAATTAAATTAATTAATTTCTTTATTCTATCTGAAGTGAGGTTAGTTTCATAAATAGTTTTCGTAGTACCAGTTTGGTCAACAACAGTAACTGCATTATGGTTATTGTTAGATCCTTTCGACTTTTTCGATTTAGCAGACGATTTCGTAGTAGTATTAGTAGTAGTATTCGTTTTATGTTGTGATAGTTGACAACAAGTTGGACAAAGATATGTATCTGTATGATTAACAGCTTGTTCAGGTGTTAAACCAACGCATTCAGGATGATACCATTCATCGCAACCATCACAAGCAATATATACTCTGGAGATTAGGAGCAACAATAGACAAACAAAGAAAAACGAATAGAAAATCATACAATCCATTTCATATTGCGTAACACAGTTAAGTGAAATATTTGTAATAGAACAGAAAAACCACTTATAAATAATCAATGTCAGGACAGTAGCACAGTAGTTGATGCGTTTGACTTCCAACTATGCTCCGTTTACTTCGATTTGCACGCAAGGTAGTATCACTAGCTCTAATATTTTGAGAGTGGTCTGGAAATAAGTACAGAAATCCGGACCTGGTAAATGAGTAGATTATAATGTCATGTTCGTTTAGTCGTTGGTGTCCCAAATACCTCAACGGCAATGTCTCGGATTGTGAAACTGTGTGTGGAACGGGTCTGAATCTCATAGGGAGTATTAGCTCCTTTAAGATTCCAAGTATACTTATTTGACCAGTTCTAAGTAGCACGAAACCTAAATCAAAAATGGTTTCCTTCTGATTATCTTTTTAACAGAAAAAACCACTACAATATCGATCTAGTTTAAATAGTGTAACAGTGATTGAAATAAGTTTATTCATCTGATGCTTTTGACTAACTATACCAATATAAACATTTGATATTCACTTCATTTACAGTTTACTTTACGAAACTTTATATTTAGAAAGTAACCGCTACATTGTGATGCCTTCTATTTCATAATCAATACATCCAGTCAGATAATTATAGTGATATGTTACCCAGCAAAGAGGAAAGTAGGTGAAGCGGGGTTCGAACTTGAGAATACTAAACAGTTGAAAGTCAGTTCGTTTACGTCATTGAATTTAGTGATGGAAATTATAACCGCGCTGTTCGTATTTATAATTTAGACAATACTGTATCAAACAACTAAGAGTAATAATAAATCAACGCCGTTTCTTTTTGTTTTGAATTAATTCAATTTCAAGTTCATTAAGTTCGATAAAACGGGTACACAAACCATTCTTAGCTGAAAACGGATATGAATACACGGTTGCTAAACAATATACTGGCCCGTTTATGAACTAAAAACATGTCTAATAAAAATCTAATACAAATAAAATTTAGTTCCATGACAATTAACTTATAAAAATGAGTTATTCAATACAATGATTTGATTTCCCTCTTCTGTCAAACCAAATATAGATATACAAGACAACCGACTAATAATTAAGGAAATAATTAGACATTATTATTCAAAATATGGGAATCCGATATGTCTACCGAATTAAATTTTAGATTGACAGCGAGAAATACACATATATAAAAACAAGTGTAACAATTATTATTTACCTCGTTGGTTCATATGGTGTACGACAAACACAATAAAGCATTTCATTAGCTTTCAATTCAGCTTGTTTGCAATCAGGACAATGCCAAGAATCACCTAATTTATCAGAATCTTTAGGATCTAAACCAACACATTCAAAATGAAACCAATCTCGACAAAGATCACAACCGATATATTCCCTAGAGTAAATGAAATAAAACATAAAATATTTATTGATTCCAAACAAGTTTAATTCAACATTAGAAATGTAAACTGAACTAAGGTAGTGAACTAATAAATATAGATCCTGGGTTCGAATCTCGTGAAACGGGATCGTGGATGCGCACTACCATTGAGGAGTCCCACAATAAGACGAAACGGCCATCCAGTGCTTCTAGGTTTTCCATGGTGGTTTAGCTTCAATCGACTCATAATCTCAACTATTGAAATTACTATAATATCAACAAAAACCCTTCTGATATTAATAAATATATTTTTGTGACATTCCAATGAGTATAAAATTCTATTTCTGATGTTTCACGACTTAATATAAGTCACTTATTCAGAGTTAAATAATAATCGAATTAAGTTAATACAAGTTTAAATAGTACATTATTTAAGCCATGAAACGTTAAAAATATGATTTTTCTACTCATTGGAATATAACAAAAAATAGATTTATTATTAACTTAATGTGTTTAATTTATTTGAAGCTATCAAGTCCAAACCTGGGTATCGATAACTGCATTTTAGTGAACTGTTTAATAATGCACGTTGACAAATGAAGGATATAGTAATTGAATCTTAGGAGTTTAAATAAACGAAATTATCCATATTTAAATAGTGATTACAAATGGATATCTAATGAATGCATAGAAGTTGAAAAGAGTTAATGAGATGATTATGTAACACGAATCGACTCTAAACTATACAGTGAATATGTTTTTGCTAAAATGTTTATACGCCTATATGGTTTTAGACAAGTAGTTAGGTGTAAACTATTTGGTTGACGCTATAATCTCAATCAGTAGATTGGAAATCTTTCCAATCAATTTACAACTCTATCTAGCTATCCTTATGTAGTCTGACAACTTGGAACTATATATATTTGTCAGATTATAAGGTTGTTTGTTTATCACTGGTTGGGTAATTGTTAATTTAATCAAGAATACTGCTATATATATCATGATTTCTAAACACAAATCTACTTACCTTGATGGATTATATGGAGTTTTACAAACACAATACACTGAAGAATTAGAAGATACATCCTGTAAAACATTGGTAATTGATTCGATTTGTGTTTCATTTTTGTCAGATTTTTCAGAGAACTTGGCACGACCTCCTCCTTTATTACTACGTCCAGTGCCACTAGCACTACTACTTCCTCGCTTAGACCCACCCTCACCTACAGAAGATGATTTAGGTGATTTCATTGATCCTGTAATATTATAATTGTGTTCACTGGCATCTGAATTTGTAGACTCATGTTTCAATCTCTTTGTTTTTGTACCAGATGAACGACTGGTCTTAGTTGAAGCCTAAAAACAATAGAAATATATATATGAAATAAAAATAACGAAAACACAAAAAATTAAAACTATACGATACAACATAAAGAACCTTTATGTTAAGAAAGAAAAATACTGGTAGTGAAGGAACACTCAGGTGGACGAGATCAATTTATTGTTTAATACAAAATCAGAGTGCCTTGATAAGATACGAAAACCATACATTAAATACATCATTAGTATGTCATACAATAGTTGTTGATTACATACTTCATAATTTTTCAAATTCCTTTCTGTTTCCCTTTCTGTTCTCATCAGTTCTATCTTTTCAGTCTTCTACTGCCAGACATTACACTTCTGACTGGTGTTACATTATTTTATTTATTTATTTAAACACATAAACATTGGTACGAAAAGGCACCAAATAAATTTGCGTCACACTACATCATTCAATCGGTGTGAGCGTCTTATCCACAAAGCAACTTCAGGAGATGTAGTACTACGTTAGCCGGTGACAAACAATAGGTTCATACGCCATTTGATTCTTTAAGATACTGAAGCTCATGTGCACCAATCGTTAGGAATCAGGGCTTTCCAACCTCCCTAGGTGGATCCTCCATATCTACTAACCCGGTTAAAGCACCGGACATTCGCTTTTCGTCCTCTCGATTTAGTAAATAACACCCCCGCCGCGAGGAAGTAGTGAATAAGATATCTCTGGCAGTGGTTGTATACACGTGGCTATATTAGAGCATTTCGAGAGAGAGAGAGAGAGGACTCTCCCCACTCTCGGCTGTATCAGGGCATTTGTGGGCACATACTACTTACATCTATCAACATAAGTTGCATAAGCCACAATACGACTGAAATTAGCATTATATTTAGACAACAAACGAGATAATAAAAAAAACACAAATATGAATAAACTAACCGTTGATTTCTGTTGACAAATATTATTTCCATAATCATCACCTAAACCAGGTGATGTACTTGCAGTAGAACAAGAACTATGAGTAGTAATAGTAGTAGTATTATCATCATCATCATTATTATTCTTATCATTATCACTATCTTTATTATTATTTGTTAATAATTTCTTTGATTGTTTAAGAGATAATTTCATGGTTAAACGATTTTTATTGTTTGTTCTATTTGGAGATTGATTTATTGTAGTTTGATTATATGATTTAGATAATTTAATAAATTCATGATTTAATGCACTTTTTCGTGGAATACGATTATTTGCTAATAATTCTGATTGATTAATTGGTTTATTATTATTATTATTAATTACATAAGGATTTTATTTTCATCATCACTAGAAGATAATGATGATGATGAAAATGTCGGAGTAATTTTTCGTTTTGTACGTTTATGATAAACATCATTCTTTTTATTTGTAATAGCAGTAGTAGTAGTGGTGGTATCATTTTTGGTTTTACTAGGACGTCCAATTTTCTTTTTTGGTATTAATGTTGATGAGGATGATGATGATTTATTGAGTTGATTAACAATATTAGATCGACTTTTTTGTGTCAGTAATTTTTCACCGGTTTGATGATGAGGATGTGTTGATGATTGTTCTAATTTTTTTGAAGAATTCTCATTAAATTTATCTGCCTTAGAGATCTGTTGTGCTCCTTTGATTTCATTAACAGCAATCTGTAAAAGAGAATTGTTTGTTTTATAAATTAATATATGAGAATTATAAAAGAAAAAAATGACATTGGCTTTGACAAACGTATATATATATATATATATATATATATATATATATATATATATATATATATATATATATATATATATATATATATATATATATATATATGACATTTATTCGGAATAGATAGAATGAGAATAGCAGTGGAATCCAGTAAGTGCTCTTCATCCCATCATGAACTCCTCAGCTGGATGTACTTGAGTCCAAGAGTTGACATCCATTCCGAGACTTAAATCCAATACTGTTTGCTTCAAAAACCATTGCGTTATCCACTTAGCTACTGAGTCCTGGAGTGGATATCAACAATAGAATGCAGGTATATCTAGCTGACGAATCCCAAACAGGACGAAGCGCGCGTTCTGAATTTCACTGCTAGCCACATTTCAATTTATTTTATATCAACTTGTCTCATAATGACAATATAAAAGAAATTTGGAAAGAATGACCATATTCCAAACAAGACTGAAGAAATTTCAGTCAAAAATATCCATAACGGGATAATCCAAACCATTTCAATTCGACATTTGTTTAGATTTTGAAATTCGCCAAATATTAAAACAAACGTCATTCGAACTAAGGTTCATCATCACTTAGAAGAATCATGAGAATTTAGGTAGTTGTATTTGTTCACCACTTTATATATCATTGGAAGTTCCATCAACCTTAATGAACTAGTCAGACAGAAAACAGTTATGGATTTTATGAAGTTGCAACACGTATTTCAAAGAAGAGATGTCTGTCTGCTCACAAAAAGAGTAGTATGGCGTTCACCATTTCATCATGTATTATTCTCTAATTATGAAACATCAACTATGGAAGCAGAAGACAAACATAGGGTGCAAGTTTTTGATAAGGTATATCGTTGAAGTACTGCTTTGTATGATGAGACAATTGAGTGATTAATGTTGAGGCTAGGGATATGGTACTAAACAAGGATAATAAACCGATCAGAAAATGTGAACATTCTTTCTTATCCCGAATTATCAATTAAGTATGATTTTTTTAAATGTTTTTGAATGTGGGTGAAGGAAAACTAATTGACAATGGCATTGAAACTATATTAGAACATGTAGAATTAAATACACTCTCACTTTGTGTGAGCTGTTAAAAATCACTAAGCTAGAATACCATTATTATTACTCAATTATGGTATGTAGTCTATATGGTACATAAAAAAACGCAACACACAAAAATAATCTACCAGTACTATCGACAAATTTACAACTGGTTGTCTGATCACTGAGTAGTGACCGATAGCATATATGACCAGTCCTTCTTAGTGCTACTCCTACATACACACACATCTCAGCTGTACGGAATGTCATTCAAAGCCGGAAACGCCAAGTAGTAACGTCTCTGACTGTGAAACTGAATGACATAGGATCGAATTCGCCAGAGAACACCTGTTTCTTCAAGATTACAGGTAAATCTCGTTGACCAGTGCCCAATAGCAAAAATTCTAAGTCAGACAGGATTGTCTGTCGACTATCCACAAATGCTACTTTAATGTAGATAAACTGTGCACAAAAATTTTTTCAGATGAATAATATCAATTTTATAACATTCAAATATGCTAAAAGAATAATAATGAAATATAACAGATAATACATATGATGAATCAAACTTACATCAGCAAGTGATTTGGCCCAATTAAATATTAAACGTTTACGTGAACAAAATTGTGATTTCAATGAGCGTACACGTTGTTCTAACAAAGCACGTTCAAATCTTGCACGTCTAGCTGCAACCGATGCTCTAGCAGCATTTGTTGCTGCAATTGAACGAGCTCTAGCTTTTGCTTCTAATGTATTCGGTGAAAGAGGACGTGGAATACTATTATTATTACTCACTGAACGATCATCACTTCGACTTCTAGAATTTACTAGTAATAGGAACAAACAAATGAATGAGAAAAAATTGCAGATTATATATAACGTTGACTATCTTTGAGATTGCTACCGAGAAATCTTCAAAAATTTGAGGAAAAATGTTGAAAAAACTGTCTTATTAACACGATAATAGAAAATTTGCCGAAAGATCTAGAAGACAGACGAATTATGTGCCATAATTTAACTGTCCTTGTTTACTGATATTCACAAGATGATTCGAACTTAGTACCTTTCGCTTTAGATGCTATTGCGTTATTCATTCAGCTACTGAATTCAAAGAGCCACTAATTTGCTTGACGGCGATATTTATATGATTATTATTAAGAGTTTGAGTACAATAAACGAGCGTTTCGAACTTCACGGTTAAACATAATTTATCTATCATGTAAAACATGGCAAAATGGGAATAGCGAGGCGATCCTCGCAGGATATATATAGTTTCATTATGGTACGATAAACGATTTTATTTTGTTGGTCAATTGTTCTGAATTTGATAATATCTGTTTATTGAAACTTTCATTTTAAGAACTAGTTCTCTGTGAGCAATTAATTGTTGCCCGCTTGTATTATTAACATCATTTAGGTTGTGCTCGACCCATATCCACACAATTAATGTCATAACAGTCCCTGAAAGTAAATGTTATCAATATTTATAAAATAGTAAATTCTCAGCACAAAATAATACAGTCAATAAAGAAAATATGGTTAACAGGTGAATTCAGTCAGTGGATAGTTGTATGAACTTATATATTTTCTACTACAATTCATTTACCTAAAACATTTGTATAGTTTCGATTAACAATTTATATGTCAGAGTAAATGTTATTACTGGGTTAACTAGACTGAAGTAAATATATAGGGCTTCGAAATTCAAATCTAACGACTGAAAGTCAAACGCCTTCACCACTAAACATACGAAAAATTAATAAATTCATTATAAGTATGTACAAGAGATCTGTACACCCCAGTGTCAAGATCTAAAACAACCTATATCAGTCAGTCAGTCAGCTACAACGTAGGACCAGGCACATATGTGCATCGGTCCAGGTTGCCATACCTCATTAGCACAACAAGATGAACACCGGATTCATAGGAGTGGTTAGGTCAAAGGTTGCAATAAGGATATAGTATAGGAAGGAAGAATTAGTTCGTAGAAAGAAAGGTATGAAGTGATTTTAATCTCTTAGTTTAAGGGAAGACAGGGAGTGTATACACCGACGCCATTGTGATCGATTCTGGGCCATGTCACCAAGAGTCTCCAACCATTGGTTACGAAAGTCACGCGGACCCCAACCAAGTAGTCTGCATCTACCAACATGGCTAAGACTAGAAGTTAGTGACTTCAAGCACTGATGCCACGTTTTGGTTTGGCCGCCCCTAACTTTTTTCCAACCATCCCCTACACCGGTTAGCATTGCACGTCGTGGTAATCGGTGTTCAGGCATACGTAATACGTGGCCCAACCATCTCAGTCGATGAAGATTCATAACCTCATCAACTGATTTACCATCATTCCCTAATACCCTGCGTCTAACCTCACTATTACTTACCCGGTGATCCCAGCAGATGCCAGCAATATTTCTAAGGCATCTGTGGTCAAATACTAGTAGCTTACGGGTGTCTTCTGCTCTTAAAGGCCATGTTTCGCTGCCGTAGAGTAAGACAGAACGGACTGCCGCGCAGTATACTCGTCCTTTTATTGATAGACGGATATCTCGCCTCCGCCAAAGGTGACGTAAGTTGGCAAAAGCCAAACGAGCTTTACGAATCCGTGCTGAGATTTCGTCAGACACCAACCCATTAGGGCTGATCAGACTTCCAAGATAAGTGAAGTTGTCAACTCGTTCGACTACTTCACTCCCTATCCTTAGTTCAGGTGTTGACGCAGACCAGTCCTGAAGCAACAACTTGCATTTAGAGGGAGAGAAGCATGAAATATAAAAATACAGATACAAACGACAGAAAACATACCTGACATACGGCCAGATTGAAGGGCAGAAGCTAAAGTAGAACGTGAGCGTGAGGAAGAGCTATTCAACAGAAATCCGTTAGGTTGACCACCATCATATAAAAAGCCATTTTTTTCAACATATCCTTCAATATTTGATGGAGAAATTAATGATTTATTAACTTCAGTAGTAGTGACAGTAGCAGAAGTTGAAGCACTTGAACTTGGATCTGGAGGGAGCGAAGCTAGCCGAGTGGAAATGATATACTGACTAGTTTTGTCATTAGGATCAATCTTTGAAACATCACTGTCTGAAATAGGAGGATAATTGGATTTCGGCGGTAGTAAACTAGAAAGAAGACAAGGAGGAAGAAATACACTTTCACGTACAGTAAACGACATCAATAATAATAATAATAATAATAATAATAATAATAATAATAATAATAATAATAATAATAATGCGAACCAACTCTAATGAGATGCTGTCTATCAGGATATGTTCTAACCAACAAATCAAAAAAATGGATTTAAGTCATCAAAACCAATAGTTCGTACCACTACAATACTGATATTTACCTATCATGCACATCCTACGAGGTAAATCCGAAAAAAACACTTTATAATATAAATAATATCGGCTATAAAATTCTAAAATAGTGTTTTCCATCTTACTGTGGCTTTAATCGCGTCAGATCTTCTAAACAGAATTTAGATGTACCAGACAGAAATTGGAACTAAAGGAAAAGTGTAAAACAGAAAGCTACACAACTCACGAGTGACCAGTGTCATATATGTCTTGTCCTATAATAGTAAGAGAATTATATTGATCGAAGTATAATGTTACCCGGCTGGTGCACTAAGTTGAGACATTAAGTAGCTGGAGGTAATCGACAAGATCTAGGTGTCATGCTAGTCGGTACTCGTTAGAATTTGTATCTGTAATCTTGAGAGTTAACTCTATCTGTGCGATTCAAAACCACATCCACCTGCTTGACAGTTATATATAATCACCGAGCTATTCAGATAGTGAACAACGTCTATCAGGACTGAGATATTTACAGCTGGTCGATCACTTATCTAATTAAAATAAGATTACACGATGTGCATAAATAATGAATAAGTCTTTAGACATTGATTATGATTATTTCTCAAAGAAATAATAAAATTTTTGCATAGTTCATGATTTATAAAATCCAATTCGAGTCACACATTACTCAAGACCTGGTTGACGTACCTAATTGGAACAAAGTTTGGAACTAAGAATAAATTTCTTGACAAAGTACATAAAAGGATTAAAATTATTTATTGAATAAGGAAGGTTTAGTAGAAAACAAAAAAAAACTCACGAATTCATGAAAACACTAATTTCCCACAAAAACACTGCATCTTCAGACATCCACTTTTCCTCAACTGACACTTCATTACGCTGTGACTGGAGACCACGTCGTCCACCACAGAATTCTGGGTCACCATCATCATCTGAATCGCAAAATGAACCTCGACTAGAACGACCATAAGAACGAAAATTACTCCGCGATTGTCGGCGACTAGAATTATTTGAACAAGGAACTCCAACACGCCAACCTTCATCTACAGCAGGGTCGTAATCGGGGTCTTTTCCACCTTGAGCATTTCTCTGACCTCCACGTCTCCCTTTTCTCCTAGAACTTGACTCATCAGGTTCTGGAGAATCTTGAAGAGATGGACCTCTTGTAGATCGACCTCTATTAGATGGATCTGTAGCTTTACGCCTGCGGCTAGAATTCGAACGGGTTGGATAAGTTGTAGTTATACGAACTTTATAATTAGCCTGTAGCCAAAATCGATCCTATCAGTAGAAAACAGAAATTTCGACACATCAGTAACAATCTTCGATGGAAAAAATAACACAAGTTCAAATCATTTGAAAAATATATACAATACAAAATGAAAAGAACTTACAACAGGTTGAATTTCAACTATACGCCTTACGCTATAAGGCTTATTATCCTCATATCTGCCTGAAACACCACTAACATCAATATCGTCGTCATCGTCATCAATATTTAAAGTTTTTTTAAAACAAGGTCGCCCATTGGAATCATGAACACATATATCTTTATCTGGTTCAACCACTATATCATCCCATCGAATACAATGCCATAATGTACGTAAAAGTAAAGCAAAATTAGCCAAATCTAAACCAAATGAGATATTGTTGTTATGATTATCTTTTGAAAGCTATTCATTCGTATTTGACTAAGACGAAAACGCCAGCATTCTGCAAAATTAGGCCTTGAACTAGGATATAACCAGTTCACCTAGAATATAAAAATTACAATGATTTAGTAATTATTATAAGTAAGGAAATAAGTATACGATTATAAGTTGTAAGAATTTTATGAAAACAGTTATGTAAGCAATACAGCAAACATCAGTTAAAGTAAATATATATATATAATGGAAGAATTTGTTGTATTATTAGAACAATTAGAAAGTAGGCAATATACTAGGCGAGTATATATTCATATCACGTTCCTATATTTACATGCCATCTTCTCAATGTTGAACAGTTAATAAATAAAAATTGTGAGATACGCTAATGAAAGAAGTCAAACTGACACTTAGTCGAAATATTAGCTGACATGTCCTTGACTAAATCAGAAGGGCAATCGCATATATACACCTCTGATTTGTGAATATTATATTTCGATCTTGTAGTTAAATTCATCTGATAAGGTTTCACTCTTTTTATTTGGATAATGAGTTTAATGTATTAAAGTAAGTGAAAATATCGTGAATGACTCAGATCACAGAAAACAACCACAAGTGTGTAAGTATAAAGTTTAATAGAGAGATTTTGCCTCTCTATCTCAGAAGTTAAAGCAAAGAATATTAGCGTTTGTAGTTTAAGGGAAAAAACATACAGAAGACATTGTAAGTTTCAGTCTCATGAAAAGTGTAACCAAAGAAACATTTGTCTGTTTCTTAATAAACTGACTAAACGCTTCATAAAAAGACAATCTACATTAGTAAAGAATAAATGCAAGAAGTGTAGATAAAACGGGACTACTTTTTTTACCTGTGAAAGTCGCTTCTTTTCAACATCATATCCAGGAATTTCACGTCGACCAGCAGAAAGTATAACAAGGCGTAAATTATGAGGATTTATTCGGAATAAAGATGATTTGGGAAGAAGCTAAATATCAATAAACAGGAAAAAAATGAAATAAGCACAATCAATAGTACTAAACTTATTTGTAATATCCTGCAACCATTTTCCACTGTCATCAGTGAGTACCAATGATACAGTCTCCAACAATGTGTATCTGTATTCTCGAGGGAACGGATGTTCTCTGGTGGATTCAACCGCGTGTTATCCAGTTTCATAGTCAGATGTCTCTAACCGTGAAGGTGATGGACAATATTGAATCCACCAGATGGACATTACCTTGGAGATTATAGGCGAAGCTTGTTGACGAGTGCCGAGTAGAACAAAACGTGGGTAAAATGGGGAATCCTTTCAAATACATCCAATAAGCATTTTAAATCTCAACATAGTGCACACGATGTCGAATAACTTGGACTAGTGGCCACATTGTAACTTGATCGATAGAAGTCAATCAACACTAAGGAGTATTTGACGTACATGACAATGGTTAGAATGCTAACATTACGTAACAATATATGTCATATTTACAGTTGATTGTTCACTTCAATCTGTTTGAAATTATCAATAATTAAACCTTGATAGTGATATTTATAAAGCTGTGTTTTTAATGCTGTAAAATGATCGCTGTGGTTTGTAATTGCTACATTTTTGTGATGTAGATTATGGTATCATCAAATTACGAACAACTAAGGACAATACAAAATCTGAACGAACTAGACACATCGAATGACCAATAGCACAGCAATACTTCAACAATTAATAATCCACACGAGAATAAGATAGAGGAAAGATGGAACTTTCTACAGAACCCTAATATTTCCAATAGAAGTCATGACAGTAACAAAATAACTATGTTTAGGTAATTAGGAATATTAAAAAAACTGAGATATGTGGCAAAAATAGTCAATCGAAAAAAACGAAAACAACCATTCTCAAAAAACGCCATAAGTCAGTGAGGAAATACATAGTGGAAAGAAATAACCGTGGACTTCCTTACAAGTCATAACTACAATTTATTGAAGAAAAATTGAGAAAATCAGATGACTTACTAACAGTAATCTTAAAACGTTTTCAAAACTGTTTCTTTTTATATTTCGTCACAGTATGTTGCCGACATGTCGCTTTTAATGAAACTGAATACGATATCCTACACTCATTTTTAAGTCAAATACTACATAGATTATAGCTGACTAATCAAATTGAAAAAGGTATAACCTTTCATCAAACTAAAGCAGGTAAGATTAAATAGAAACATAAGGCTTTACACCACTAAGTTATTTCTACAATATGATTCTTAGTTCAGAAGAAACTACTTGAATTAAAACTGAGGGACGGACAACAATAATTTCATCACAGTCACCGGGAGTGGCTTACAGCAACTAAGCAAGTGTTATGACTCAAATAAGTTAAGGTGGCTGGAAAACTTGTAACTTTAGGTCCTAAAACATCCAGGAAATTCCGACGGAGAACGGTAAGACGAGAGTATCGACTTAAGGTTTAAGGGTGGAGTTATACTGTTAACCGGTTGGTAAAGCCTAAAAATAGCACATCATGTTGGACCACGGATTCTTGTCGTCTGTGATAAGGCCTTTGCTACGTTTGAAGAGATTACGGTATCACATAGAACCACATACATATTTACTGCGTACGATGATAAAATAACTAACCATATTTTGTGTCTGTTCGCTACTACATTGATCTTTCGACATGGAATCTGGAAGTGGCCATGCATAATCATTTACATAAGGTAAACTTTGTGGTAACATAGCATCCGTAGTAGTACCATAATCTTTGCCGGCTTGATTAGTTGTTTTCTTGTTATTGTTACGCAAAAATTTATTCACAAATGTTTTGTTGTTCAAATCGAAATCGGCGTTGTTACGTAGTGATAATGAATACGGTGAACTGATGACTGGTGAACCACGATTGACAATCTCTTGATATTTGCCTAGTTCTGATTTTAACGAATTAATTTGCGATTCTAATTCCTGTGCCTGATAATAACAAAAATAAAAGAGGTTTCCTTCTTTTAATAAAGAAACCAATTCCGAAATAAACAACGGATACGACAAGGAAAATACACAAGATTACTTCAAATAGTTTACATTACGCACTGATCTTAGTTGGACAACTATTGTGAACCTTGAAGTGAATAGCCACTTTGTCTTAGTATGCGAAAAACCTATAATTTTTTAAAACCATCTAACATAATGTACATGATGTTAATCAGTTAGTCATACGCAAAGTAGGATATGATACATTTGTGCATTGGTTTAAGTTGTCACAATTTATTTGCCCCCAAATGCCCTGGTACGGCCGAGAGTGTGGAGAGTCCGCTTTCCCTCTCCAAATGCTCTCACATGCCCACGCGTATAAAGCCTCTGCCAGGGAAGTCCTACTCAATGCCTTCTCGTGGCGGCAGTGTTGTTTACGGAAATGAGAGAACGAAAAGCGAATGTCTGGCGCTTTAACCGGATTCCAAACCAATGGTGCACATGGGCTGGCTCCAGTATCCTGAAGGAACAAATGGCATATGAACCAACCGTTGGTCACCGGCTACCATGGGACTGCATCCCCTCACGATGCTCCACTGCCTTGTGTGTCAGACCTTTAGGTCAAAGGCTCGGGGTGTGGCCCCCTAAGAAAACCACCTATTTCGGTTAGGGCACTCGAGCAGCATCAAAGCCCTCACACATATCAAATTAGATTTGTGTGGCGCATATGTATTTGGTGCCTCCTTGTTTCAATATCTATGTGTTAAAATAATAATAATAATAATAATAATAATAATAACAATAGTAACAATAATACATAGAAAATATGATTGGAGAAGGGAGAATGAAACTATAAAATAAAAGGAATAAAATAATCTGAAACTCAGGGTATGAGAGATAACAAAAGCGAATACATTTCAGTAATTGTGGTCACATTTGAGCTACATCAGTCAACATCAACCATGGGCTACGATAATTTTCTAAACCCCAACCAAGCATTCTCCATCAAACAAATATTCAATGACTTTATAAGTCAGTCAGTAACAATGTAGAACATTGTACGTACGTGCATCAGTTCGAGTTGCCATACCACATTAACATAAAAGTACAATTGTCGATTCAAATCCCATAGTGATAGAGGTGGTAAGAGTATAAGCAGTAGTCGGAAACATTAGGGCTTGAAAATGTTATTCAAGGAGTATAATACAGTGAAATAATTTTGGAAAGAGAAAAAAGAAAGGGACACAAAGAATTCAGAAAATTAGAATTTGGGAGAACACAAAGAGTGGATGCACATGCTCACACCATTGCAAATGATTTTGAGCCATGTCATTCAGGGTCTTTAACCATCGGTTGCTATCATCTCACGGTCCCCAACAAGGTAGTCTACACCTATCAACATGGTTCAGTCCACTTGTCAGTAACTTCATGGATTTGTGACATGTTTTGGTCTGGCCACCCCTACCTTTCTTCCAACCTACTCCTACACCATAAAACATCGCACACCGGAGCAGTCGGTGGTTGGGCATACGTGTAACACATGTCCCAGCCATCTCAACTGATGAAGTTTCACTACTTCATCAATTGATTTGCTATCCTTACCTAGTACCCGTTCCCTAACAACTGCATTACTTACTCGATGGTCCCAGAATATACGAGAAATGCAATGGTCGAATACTAGTAACCTACGAATATCCCTTATTCTTACCGGCCATGTTTCACTACCGTAAAGTAGGACGGAACGAACTGCTGTGCAGTAAACACGTCCTTTGGTTGGTAGACGGATATCTCGCCTACGCCATAAATGACGCAAGTTGGCAAAAGCTAGTGGAGCCTTCTGTATGCGCGCTGAGATTTCGTCACACATCAGACCACAAGGGCTGATGAGACTCCCAAAACCAATGACTTCATACAATTTTCAAACGTTAATTGACCTGAGACGCGTCATTACAGATGAATTTAACAAACCTGTAATAAAATATATAAGTAGTTTACACTCTTGAATACATTCTCACTTCTGACCTACCTCCGAACGAACTGAAGCAATCTGAGCATTAATAGCGTCTAATTTAGAACTGGCTTCTGTCACAGCATGATCTAAAGCCAGAGTTGCTTCATCAACAATTGGAGTTTGTAATCGAGCAGCAGTTGGACCACTATCGAACTGTCTAACTAAACCTTTATAATCAGAAATCAAAACTTTCGATTTATTATTCATTATGAAACGAGGATCTTCATCTATTAATGAATTATGACGAATATGTTGAGCTTTAGCTATTGAACGTCTACCTTGATGTAGATCTGACATTCCTTGTGAATCAGATATCACTGGTCGAATAGATGGTCCAGTTGATATGTATCGATTGAAACCACCTAATTTGAAAAAGATATATACATATATTTAAAGTAATCAACAAAATGAGAATCATCCAAAAACATATACTACTAACTTTAACTTTCGACTTTTCTTCCTTTTAATTAACATATTTATCAGGCAGAGATTCGATTTACACACTAAAATGTGAAGACAAGTGATACTACATCGGTGGCCAAAATGGACTAACTGGATTAAGATTGTATCCTCGATGTCTAACCTACCTTTCCTACTAATCAGGCATTTTTCCAGCCAATTTCATCTCGCTGTGCTAATGTAGTGTGACAACTTGAACCGACACAAACATGTGCCAGGTTCTACTTTGCGTAAGACTGACTGATTGATCAGCTGAATTAGTGATATCATAAGACTGATTAACAGTTATGAAATAAATGAGTAGTACATGGAATAAAATTCAAACAACTATGATTAATGAATTATCAGATATAGTTGAAATACTTGGCATGCGAAAACAAGTTGACAGTTCACTCTCTTAAAATATACATAGGTAGTGTTGATTACAATTTGACTTGATTTGAGGTACTAGTGAAAATAACTGAAGTTGGAATTGTACCACTGGAAACTAGCCTGGTAGTTCTAACAGTTAAGATTTCGATGCGAGACCCTGAGTTCGACCTCTGCAGGGAACGAAGATGAGCATCACTGAGGATTCCCAAACTAGGACGAAGAGGCTGTCAAATGATCCACAGTTTTATGTTAAAATCAAGATGGAAATGGATTTGAAATGATAGCCAACTTAGAAACGATTACTTAATATTTATGAACCTACCACAGACCAATTGTCGGGCTGTATTTGTAGCAACAAGACTTGCAACTGATGGAGTTCGAAGAGATGATGATTGCTGTGTACCAACAATTTGTGGATAATCACTCGATGAACTAACTGGTAAAATTAAACTAGTCGAAGATGGACCACCACTACCAGCAGCAGCTAAAGTACGTCGTAATATAGCAGGAGGTGGTTTACGAGGCAGTATTGGTGTAAATGATGATGTAACCGCAGATGTGACCGCGTTAGGATCTGAGGAAACATCTAGAAAAAAAGGTGAACAGGATTGACAAATGATGTTACAAAGCATTATGCATCAGTAATCAATAAGAATGAAGGACATATTGAACAGGTATACAATACACACAGAGAGGGATCATGCAATAACCAGTGCTTCTTTATGTTAATCAACTTCGTATTGATAAAAACCATCAAACAATTTGACTTCAAATAAACATTTCCACTAAAGTGAGAAACAAGGAAAAAAAGACTAATCAAGTTTTTTATGCTTAATTTATAATATTTATCTGATGACTTGGTAAACTGATGAAAATGATGAAAAAAATACCAGTGTCCAACCAATGATTCATTTGAAGCATTATTAATGATGTATAGTGAAACAGTTAAGTAATGCTGAAAATACTAACATGGTAATGAAAGTAGGTCAGTAATAAAGCAATGAAAATATATATCAACTGTGATAGAGGTGTTTTATTAAATATATTTGTATAAGGACTAGTGACCTATATCCAGGTTCTCGAAATTATTTAGGCAGTGTTGTGTATGTTCTTTAAAAATTAAATCATTAATAAAATGTCATTTCACAATTGATTGATCACTGGGTGACGATCAATTTCATGCGTATCTAGTCCTTATTTAGTGCAGATCGAATGCTATCGACCATGTTGCAATGTGGCCACCAGTCTAGGTGACTCGACATTGCGGGCACTATATATCGAGATTAGATGGTGGTTGGAGGTAGTCGACAGGAAACCCTGGACCCGGGTTTCGTGCTACTTGGCACTCGTCAGCAAGGTGTACCTGTAATCTTGAGGGAACTAATGCCCCCTGGCGAATTCGATCTCGTGTCACCCAGCTTCACAGTCAGAGACGTCACCACTGAGCTATCCGAGCCGCGACCGACCTTCTCCAGTGGTGACGTCTCTGACTGTGAAGCTGGGTGACACGAGATCGAATTCGCCAGGGGGCACTAGTTCCCTCAAGATTACAGGTACACCTTGCTGACGAGTGCCAAGTAGCACGAAACCCGGGTCCAGAGTTTCCTGTCGACTACCTCCAACCACCATCTAATCTCAGAATGTCATTTCTTTCATCAGCTCTGTACGAAAATATAACACGAAGATATTGAATAAAACCTGCAAACATAAATGTGCAGAGAATGAAATATTATTCACCTGACTGATTTGATGCTTTAACTATAGTGATTGTAGGCGTTTGACTTGGAGGATTTGTCGATCCACTACTATCACTAGTTGTAGTAGCAGTAGTACAAACTGTAGGTGCAATTATAAATCGAACAGAATTAGCCGATGGAGGTTTCAACTTTCCAACAGTAGCAATATTTACAGTGGCTGGTTGATTGATTAGAGCAGGGATTGAGACAGTAGTATTGGATACAGTAGCAGGAGTGATCAAATCAGTAAGTTGTATTCCACATTGTTGTAAGTTAGTTGTAGATATAGTAATTGGTTGTTGTGATGTTTCATTCTCGACCGAGATAGATACAAGAGGAGTGTTTGTAATAGCAGGCTTAAAAATAAAATGAATTTAACGGGATTTTTTAAAGACAGCTATTTGTAAATATGCTATATCAGTGCAGTTGAATGAAAAAATCATAAGAGACTTAATTCAATGAATCATCTATCAATCTTAATATAAATATCCTGAGTAACAGATTGTAAGAAACTCACTGCTGAAACATAGTACGCCTGTGATAGGCATTCACCGGTGTGCTCCTCTACCTGAACTGAGGCAATGCACGAATTCATCAAACGAGTCACCTATTATCATTATAGGTACGATTTCTCCGCCCCCAGAGATAATGGTTCCGTGGTGACGGGGATTCCGGTAGCTGAGGCAGTTTTCGGGACAGCTAATTCGATCATCACGTCCCTATTATCTCATACTTCATAAAATGTGTTCGGGATATTACACTGTTTAATGTGTATCAAATTTATAGGTTATAGTTCTTCTAAGGATATATTTCAATATCATAACAGTTAAGACTGAACGCTAAACAATATCCTGAATCACCACCGGTAAAATTATTGCGCGAAACATAGACAGAAACTATACTAAAAAATGTTGACTAATTTAATTTAGGATAGCATAGGCTTTTAACAACACCAAATTTTATATCATACAATTTTCAAACAGACACGCTTAAGTCTTCACCTACTTTATGAATTCTTATTTATTTGTTTGAACACATAAATATTGGTAAAAAGGGTCACCGAATACATATGCAACAAGTTATTCGATTTGTGTTTGGGCCGTGATACTGCCCGGGTGCTCAGACCGAAGCAAGTGGTTTACTTAGGGGGCTAAACCCGAAACCCTGAGGCAATGGAGCGATATCAGGAGATGTAGTACCATGGCAGCCGGTGACCAACAATAAGTTCACACGCCATTTCTTCCCTCAAGATACTGGAGCTTATGTGCACCATTAGTTTTTAATCAGTGTTTTCCAACTTCCCTAGGTAGATCCTCTATATCCACCAACCCGGTTAAAGCACCGGACATTCGCCTTTTGTCCTCTCAATTTCGTAAACAACACACTCACTGTGAGAAGGCAGTGAGTAGGACGTCTCTGGCAGGGGTTGTATGCACGTGGTCATATGAGATCATTTCAAGATGAAGAGCTAACTCTGACCACACTCGGCCGTACCAGGATATTCGGGGGCTACCAGGGCCTTACACCAGTTCTGTTACTGAACTGTTAGAAACTAGCGCGATTGTTTGAGGGTTTAAGCTTTCAAACAATAGGTTGTAGGTTCGAATTCCGTACCATCTACTTCATTTTTGGAATCCAGTTCAGATTACTAGTCCTGACGAGAAAATGTTTCACGGCTCTAAGTCGAATGCATTAATCACATGTCTACTTCTATCTCATTACTCAACACGAAATGTCCGCAGAGGTCTCATGAGGTTCGTGCAATTCCAGTATTGATAAGCACACAAAGACGCAATATTGATGTAAATTACTCGACGAAATTTAGTGTGAAGAAATTATTTATGTAATATTTTCCCTAAGCTACAGTCTTCACATACAACATCACAAAAACGGTGATAATTAAATATTTCTGATTGTCAATATTAATTCTAAGATCTACTATGGTATGACATCAGTTTTAGACTGGTAAGGAAATATGAAGAATTATAAACAATAGCTTCATGTTAGATCCAAACTACTCAGTATTTGTACATTTAAAACATAGAATCTAACGCAGGATTTTAAAAACATAAAGGGAGGAATTATCGGACTCACACACACACACACACACACACTGGAACAGCTTTTTTTAAATGGTGTTGACAACGAAAAAAACTACTTTCAAATTAATCAAACCATTAAATAACCTTCTAAAGCTTGCACATTATTTTTAATAGTTTTACAGCCCATATCGATAGTGAAAAAAGTCTCCAACTGAATAGATTTCCGTTCAAATATTAAATGCAAATTCGTCCAGAATATTTTACTCAATAATATATGATTAGCTTTAGATCTAATAGTAAATTTATTCAAATAACCACCAAAAACTAGTTCTATACTAATATGGGACTCCACTGCAGTGTACATCTAGCCCGATCCGAGCACACCCACACAAGGATAGATCCTCGGCCTTTTAAGTCTTGTTGTGATCACTTAAAGTCCAGTCAATTCATGATATTTTATAACCATCATACATCGATATTGAATCAATATATCTGACATCTGATATGGATGAACTCCGCTAATCATGGCTTCTCACTAGAATATCAACAGATAATAGGTAGATACATCTATGTAGTGCTTCCCTGAATTTTGATAGTTTTCCATTAATAAAATTGATTTGTGATATGAATAATTTCAACAATTCCCACAACCAACACCTAGTATATTTAATTTAATGCAACTCATTTAATAAATAAAAGAGTTCATGTGCACTCGGGTTTGAGGAATACTTCATGTTTCATATACAAGGTAAGTGACACGAATACTACTAAGGTATGGCCATACAAACCACATAAGGTCTGAAGTTAGAGTTGAGATTGAGTCCTATTTAATTGAGATATTCGGGTCTATTTACAACAATTTGGCATATCGAAATCGATTTACCTTCAATTCACATGAGGTTGTTGCCGTTGTCAATATAACCGATGGTTTTGATATGGTAACATTATTAGAACCAGTTGTACTTGATGAATTTAACACTAAATGAATGTCACTGCTATCGAAGGAATTCAATCCAGTCGTAGATGATGATGGTACAAGATCACTTTGACCGGTAGTGTTAGTAATAACTGAATAATCAATTTTTAGTACAATGAAGGGAGAAAAAGATAGGGGATTAAGTAAAGGAAAAATCAGACAAAACAAATGACAAGTAACAAAGCTGGAACAATTAAATAATAGTGAAGTCACACTAGTGATGACCAATTAAGAAACAAATGTATATACATTTATCTTAAGCCTAGTACAAAATGGCTTCCGATAAAATTGCCGAATGTTGTTACTGGAAAATACAATAACAATTGACAGCTTTATACATTCACTATACTGTTGGTTAGTTAGAGGGTTTATACAAGATTTTCTTCTAATTACTAACATCTTCAACCTAGTGCGCCCAAAGATGGATTAATTAAACAATAATAATAACAACTAGACAAACATTATAGTAGTCACTACTACTTCGCAGTGATCCAGTCAGCTGTAAATCAAATATATAGACCAATATATTACAACATAGTTTTACCAGAGATAATTACCATGGGTTTTTATATAAATTGACTAGGAGATTAAAATTAACTCAAATTGCGGTAGAGAATGATCGCTTATAAACCATGAGATGGTTTACAAATGCCGCCAGGAGGCATACTACAACATGATGTTCATAGTAAATATTTTTAAAGAAACACAATAACTAAGTATCTAGAATACGTACAGTCTATAATTTTCTGGATGATACTTACTGATTGCTAACCAACTATTCGAACTTAAATTAGTGAGAACCAAATCTACCTTTTAGAGTCTTAATTTCAAGACACAAATATCTGACTGACGAGTTCTAATTCTGAAGTAAAATAATCTAGAAAAAAATCAGTAAATTTCTAGAGTTGCAAGACGACAACTAAAAAAATTATCATTTCTCTAAAAAAAGAGAGATTTTAAAGCAGAACACAAAAATAACCATAAAACATGTAGCATTAGAAAACAACAAACAAACAACGAAACAATATATAGAAAAAATATTTTACTTGAATTATCCACAGTTTGATTGACATTTAACGGTTCTATTGTTGGTGATAGAATAGTATCTGTAGCAGCCACAGGAATTATATTAGTTCCACCATCGGATTGCGTACAATTCTAACTAGACGTAGACCTTGAGGCATATTGACTGATGGTTGGCTAGGAGGAAGGTGAAGAGCTTGACTATTACCTTCCTTAACATTCCCTAATGATACTGTCTAAATTAGGGGAAAATAAAGAAATGCAAAAAAACGTAGACATAGAAGATACAAACATTGACCAATAGAAAGGGAAATTCATGCTAATCATCACAGACATGAATACAGTGATAAATGTGAACTCAATAAAATTACTGAAAATGATTGAACACTCCCAAGTATATTAATTTATAAATCCTAAACGTTCAAAATTACAAATACACAAAGAGATTAACAGTATATTATATGATTGACTGAAGATCAGATAGCTAAACTATTATAGTAGTAAATGGTTAGTTCAAACATGAATAATTTTAAGAAGATAATTACGATCAACAAGGAAAGAATGAGTGTTTGCAAACTTTTTTTGTCGAACATCTTTCTACACTACTTAATTGGTAATGAGTATAGATTCTTATCTTCTTCAAATAGGCATTTGAAAAGATAGAATTATTATCATCATATGTCATCAAAAATAGTCGACAGGAAACTCTGAACCTGGATAAATCATTAAGTAATGTACGTGCACATATATAAATTAGGAAATGTTTCTCTGAGTAAAAATTAAATATTATTCACTCTCAACAGATATCAACTTTTTCATCTGAAGTCAATGAATAATAATAATCCAAAACAATGAGTCGATCACATATTACACGTTATATCTTAACAGATAATTCACGATGCACTGTATACGTTACTCCTTCTCTCCTTGATTGCTAGATATCTCACAATCAGTCAGTCATTCAGCTACAATGTAGGACCAGGCAAATATATCTTGCAATAAGCAGTACAGATTAGAGAAAATAAGACAAAATTGTTTTTGTACCGATGCCACGATTTTGTCAGCCACTAAGCGATCAATCAAGTTTGATATGACTACTAAAATAAGTGATTTTATACCGACACTGGATGAATGAAGAACATTCGAACTATTATTATGTTCTGTACAGCTTTATATTTAGGGTATGCTAATTAGTCCTAATTTCAACCCATCAACCTTCGGGTGATTGTTCTTTCCAGGTGATTGGAAAGAACACAGATATACTACTCCCGCTTAACTTTTGTGTTTGATATGTGAAAAATAGGATGGTGTTTATTTTCTATGGAGGAATATAAAAAGTATTAAAAACATCTCAAGTGTTTTCCAAATAGTTTACCTTGTTGTTAGATACTGATTTTTCATTTGTATTAGTTGGAGTCTTCAGTTTAGCAGGCAAAATAATACGTTGACCAGTTGTTGTTGTACTAGGAGGAATTGAAAGTACTCGTGGATTAGTGTTATCCTTATTCTTAACAGTGGTAGCAGTATTTCCATAAATATATGGTGCAGTGTTATTTTTCAATATCACAACTTTCGGTACAACCTATTTTCATATGAGAGGGATTAAAAGTACAGTGATTAAATGAGATTATCTAATTTGGTGAAAAAGCAACTAACTTGATGATTGAAATAAATTTATATATCATGTGCAAAAACGATGCTGAATTCTGCGCGAGCGCACACATACACAAATATAAACGCAAATAAACTCATGTTTCAACTACTATAAATGAGGTTTAAAAAAAGGAAATCGAAGGAAGAGATAACCATGTGTTAACAGGATACAACCCCGAACATTGTGTTCCAATTAGGCTCGTATTGCTTTTGGAATATGCTGATTGATGGATTTTAATAATCCAATTCCAGTGGACGAATTGAGAAGCTAATGGGAGATCCCTACGTAAATACTATATAAACTCTAATGCTTTAATAACTGAATGATTGTAGTTCAAATTATTGGAAAATATCCATCGTTCGTCCTCTCAATTCTTGTTTTGACTTAGGAAGAATCAAGTGAAATATAGTGTCTAAGAAATACTCTAGATAGTAGGAGAATATAACATTGTGTGGCATAACACTAAGACGTATAAATTTTGAATGGGGAAAATGGTTTATGGTAACTTAACGCTATATCCAGTCTTTATTAAGGCTCTGATTTCTAATAACACATGCGTCTATATTCAAAAAAACTCACTACTTTGCAAATTGTTCTGAGATTTTTAAAATCAAACCAATCTTCTGATTACTTGATGGATCGGTGAAGATTACATGGACGACTACACGCATAGATTTATATATATAAATATTCACAGGTGGTATCAAATAATTTTATCTTTTATTTGTTCAAACAATAAGCAGCATATTTAGTGGTAGGCTGCGACAGATAGATATGCCGGTTCAGTGCCAAATTATAGATAAGAAATGTTGACAGGCTCATGTTACCGGTCAATTTTCGGTTTAACCTTATAAAAGAGCCCCTATACACAACTGGTTGAGAATCAGACTTGATTTAAGGAGGGACATGTATCTATGTTAACGAATGGGTTTGTGAACATATTCACTTGTTAGCTAAGAATAGGCAGACGACATCGTTTCGTTTTGTGAAGAGGGACAACCTTCAGCAACAATGTAAGCATGTTTGGGTTGTGATTCTCTCCCTCCGAACCCAAAATGATGTTTCAGGATCAACCTGCGTCAGTGTCTAAATGACTGATAGGGCGCGAAGTAACAGAGCAGATCGATCACTATTATCTTGGAAATCTCATCAGTCCTGACGGACTGATTTTTGACAAATCTCGGGTTGGCTTTTGCCGACTTATGTCACTTGCGGCAAAGGTATCTCACCGTCTACTAAAAAAGGACGAGTGCATAGTGAAGCAGTGCGCTCCGTTATATTTTATGGGTATGAAAAATGGTCATTAGGAATAGGGGATATTCTTATGTTACTAGTATTCAAACATAAATGTCTTTAAAGCATTACTTGCGTATTTTTGAATCACCGAGTAAGAAATCACTGCGTTAAGAATAGGGTATTACGTAAGGATGGAAAAGCGATTGAATAGGTAGTAAATTCTCATCAATTGAAGTGGATGGGACATATATTGCATATACTCAACCATAACCTACCTCGACACGCTACGTTGTCTGATATGGGAATAGGTTGGAAGGAAGATAGAGACGGTCTAACCAAGACGTGGCATCAATCCATCAAAACAATGAGAATTGGATTGAGTTATATACTTGGGCGCATACTACCTGGTTGTGGTCCGCATGATTATTGCAACTAATGGTTGGAAACTTTGGACGACTTCGCTCAAAACCGTTTGCAATGGTGCAGGTGAATCCACTCTTTGTCTTCCCCTGAAATTCTAAGCTTTTGACTTCCCAATGATTTTTTTGTTTCCCTAATTTGTTTTTTTTCATGAATGGTACCATGTGTGCTTAATCTTTTCTATTACCATATATACTGTTAATACTTCTACTAATCTGTGATGTTTGGCCTGACAATTTCATCTCTCTGTGCTAATACAGTGTAGCAACTTGAATTGATGGACAAACATACCAAGTTCTACATTGAGTTTGACGGACTGATTAAATTACAGCATATGCAACATTTCTTCATAGACATTATTTGTTATGGAACAAAAGTATTAGAGAAGTTAGAACTCTTTTAACTATTATTATTTATATTTCTACTGTATAATTAATAAATAAACTGAACCACTATATTTCTATATTCTGCTTATTGTAAGCTTTTGTTTAATAAACTGATTAGTATTATTACACGTTATTATTCCTAAATTATTGCTAACTGAACTATTTGCGATTGCCTGGTGGCTCATAGACATTCTTGGCCTGTTTGTATATAAGTAAGATTTTATATTTTATGGTGTGATGTAGTTTGACTTACTAAGTATATAGATTGACGAGTGCTCGAAATAGCTACTGTGCTGTACTGATGGGCTGGTCGGTTCGAATACGATGGATAAGGTTGATCGGGGTTTTCTTTTCGGACTAAAGGATAGAGATAGGAGAGGACACTGCGTATCAGTGGACCAACAGGAATTAAGCTTACGTTAGCCCAAGGTTAAATGTGTCAGTTAGAACATACTGTTGATCAAGGCTAAGAGCACCACGTTATGGACGAAACAGCAGATGTAGGGTAGATAAAATATAATCGAAATCCTGATTGGCGAACTTAGCAAATGATATTGATTAAATGCTCAGATATAACATTATTGATAGTTATGAACTCATTCACCAGGCATTTAAGTATGATTAACATTAGGACTGAGGGGTTATAAAAATACTATCCGATTGCCTAAACCGAAATAAATAGAGCAGTGTTCGAACCGGGGTCCGAATGCATTGCCTATTAACCAATCACACTTAGCATAACTAAATAATGTGCTTTTTCGAAATAATGACTTACAGGAACAGTATCTGATTTAGATGAGTTTGTTGAACATGGTGCTGCTACTTTTGACAATACAGGGGATTTTTCCGGATTTTTTGATTCCGTGTGAAAATGTTTTCTAGAGAAAACGGGAAAGTATTCATCGTCATCATCTTCGTCCTCCTCCACCACTTCATCTTCTTCTAATTCTTCATTATCATAATAATACTCACCGTCATCATCATCATTATCACAATCTTCATCAACATAAGCATAATCACCAACGATATCTTCTTCTTCTTCATCATAGTCAACAGCATCCTCATCATCATATTCATCAATATCTTCATCGGTTGTATCACCAACTCCATCGTATTGCGGTAAACTTCGAGTTGTTGATCTAGCATTAAGATGAATAGATACTTGAGAACGTCTTTGACTAGAATATTTTTTTGAACTGCCTTGGATTTCATCATTTGGATCAAAGTTATCAGAATCATCACCTTTTGCATTTAACCGATCATCTTCATCGTCATCTTCGTCGAAATCCACAACAAAATCAGGATCATGACGTACAGCTCTTACTCTTCGAGCACTACGTCTAAGTGGTACACTAAAATTGTAAAATAAGCATAAACAAAATAAATTCACATTCAATCTCGATCAACATTTAATAAAGTAAGTATAGAGATATGATCAATGAAAATAAAAAGGAAAACTACTAGAGTAAACCTTATGAACATTGTCAGATTGCTCTGATATTCGTTCGAGTGTCTAAATCAATTAGCTCCAACTACGAAATCATGTGTTAGACAACTTTACATTACGGTTAGCAATAATGTTAAGCTATCTAAGTAGAGGCTGAGGATCAAATCCACGTTATCAAATCATATAAGTGTATCGAGTTCAGTAATTGCGGTTATGTTTACGTTTATTTAGTCACTCAAATGTAGATATTTTGGAATAATTTGTATTGGAAGTATGATTGTTGTTCTACTGTAACTTTTCTTCCATCAAGTCCAAGTGTGCTACACTTGACATGTCTGTAGCATAATGGAGTGGCATTTTGTCGTAGAAAACTTTACATTTCTCATGTAAGTCTGTAAAAGTGACAGAACAAAAATACACCTCTGCATCACGGATTACGACAGTGTAAATAATAATTGCCGCTTCATTTTGGTTGGTTGCCAGGTGCAAGGTCAAAAAGTGCAAACGAGAGTGAAGTTTATCCTCACCCACACATATGTGCTTAGAATACATAAAGTTCCATACATAACACTTATTTAATAGCTCAACAATTGTTAAATAACAGCTTATGATCAATTCTCATACTTCGAGGCTTCATCATTAACATTCACAACCCAATTCATACCAAGCAAAAGCACACAAAACAAAGTATTTACTACTTACTTTTCTCTAGCTGACCAACTATTGACTCGTCCAGTATTCGCAGTAACTGAATCAGAATCAGAGTCTGATTCACTCAGATCACTATTTCGATTGATACGACGCTTTTGATTAGAACGATATGTTTGTTGTGGTGTACGATTATTAGGTGTAGATGCTGTCTTTTGTACTGGATTAAAAGCAACTTGATTCATATGTATGTTAGGAACGGTTCTAGGTGCAAGTACTCTAAAAAAAATTATACGAAAAAGTGAAATGTGAATTAGATTATGGAATATTTTCAAGATATGGAAAATATATTAAATGGCTTGAAACTATTTTTGACAACATCCACAGATATTGACTAGGAAGTGCAATAACATGGTATCAACCATGAACATGCTTGTATATTTTAAAAATAAAATGATTATTGCGTTTCGTAATTTGTAAAACTACACTTATGAGATTGAAGTAAATCAAATAATTTTATAACTATGTCTTAATGGCTGGAAATCCATTGTATAGACGAATGTCGAGCGATAACTACTTGGTTGGGGGTCATATCGTTATCTCGTCTCAAATCATAGTTTGTGTCTAGCTTTTTACCTCCACATTCATTGATACTACTATTGCTACCAATTTGATATCCACCTTGATAACTCCATCTCGCTGTGATGATGTGTTGTGGCATCTTGATCTGATGCCAGTTTCTATGTTGTTTAAGTTTGACTAATTACATTTTCCGAAGTGTCTATATTTAAGAATATCGAATGAATAAGTAGCCATCACAATTCATAGTCTATCATTTCTTGAAGTGTAGAATACAAATACTGCCTTCGTAAAAAAGCGTCATCAGCTCCAAGTATCATCATTACTTGGAGTAAGTGCAAAGTAAAGTTTGTAAATAAAATCCGTTTAACAAAGTTGAAAGTTATTCAATTAGCTTTAGAAATACATAATAGATAGAGACAGACATTAAATATATACACATGCACACAGATAAGCTTTACATACCTACGGACAACATAGATGTAATAAACACAATAGAGAGGTAGATATCACACAGATGTAACATACAGACAAGAACTACATACACACTAACCCATAAATAGATAGACAGATATTACATAGACACATGTATAAATACACACTAACCTGTAACGAACACCTTGATCGGTCAATACTGACTGCTGTATCAATTGTTTGCCACCACCAAAAGTAGTAACAGTGGTATTAGTAGTATTATTTGAATTTTCATTCAGCTGAATCAACCTGGAGTTTGTCATCACAACATTACCACTACCAACACCACCTACCGCTAATGTTGATGGTTGTGATGGTTTAATTAGGAGAGCAGTTTGTTTAGCTTTTACAGCTTGTGCTTTAGCTGTACGCGCTTGTTGCGCTTCCGTGCCTAATGTGGTCAAACGTTGTACCACTTCATTATGACGTTTTTCTAGGTTTTCAATTTCTGATTCTAATTTACTAACTGCATTCAATGCAGCCAAACTAGCTTTTTTATCGTTTTCAGCGGCTATATATCGATGCTCTAGTAAGTTATCAATACGGAAACGTAGTCGTTTACTAGATGATAACGATGATGAAGAGGAGGGATAACTGTGCTCCTTATCAATCGGTGGAGGGAAATGAATTCGATTGGAAATGCACTACAATGAAGGATAGAAAAATAGCAAGGACGAATATAATACCTTATTTTGGTACAACAATGTATCAATACAATTAACCTTGACGTACATCGTCATATTGTTTCATTGAAAAACAAAACAGATGGTACAAGTTAAACATGGTAAAATTAGATGAAATAAACTTCTATAATCGGATGATGTGTTGTCCAAACTCATAATCTGTCAGAATAAGACCTTGTAGGTAGCCGCAGATTAGCTTTTTGACGTTAACACAACTATCGTAGGCAATGCCCCCCGAATGCCCTGGTACGGCCGAGAGTGGAGAGAGTCCGCTCTCCCTCTCGAAATGCTCTCACATGGCCACGCGTATATAGCCTCTGTCACGGAAGTCCTACTCAATGCCTTTTCGTGGCGCCAGTGTTGTTTACAAAATTGAGAGGACGAAAAGCGAATGTCTGGCGCTTTAACCCGGTCGGTGGACATGGAGAGTCCACCTAGGGAAGTTGGAAAACCCTGATTCCAAACCAATGGTGAAGACGGGCCCCATTATCCTGAAGGAACAAATGGCATATGAACCAATCGTTGGTCACCAGCTACCATGGGGCAGCATCTCCTTACGATGCTCCACTGCCTTGTGGACCAGACCTTCAGGTCGAGAGCTCCGGGTGTGGTCCCTTAAGAAAACCACCTGTTTCGGTTTGGGCACCCGGGCAGCATCAAAGCCCTCACCCATATCAAATTAGATTTGTGTGGCGCATATGTATTTGGTGCCTCCTTGTACCAATATCTGTGTTAAAATAAATAAATAAATAAATAATCGTAGGCAATAGCTAAGGATACTATGTGATATGGCTTAGTAGTGATCTCAATGACTCAGATGCATTCCTAATTGTCGTTTGATATATATTCCTTTTATCCTCCAAATTCATTCTTTCTTCTAGAATCATATTATCTATGTCTAAAATCTTTTTCACTACCACTTAGAGTACAACTATTTCTACCACTTTGTTGTTTATCTTGATAACTGTATCTCTCTGTACTGATGTGGTGCAACAAGTTAAACTCATGTACATATACGTTAGGTTATAAATTGCTAATGATCAACTGAAACAGTGTATCACAACTTGTAGACTACAATGTATTACTTTCCAGTTAAGACCTTAATTCACAATGAAATTACCTACTCACTACTACGACATATTAGTATTAAAAAAACAGGAAACCTAGAAAAAATCCCTGTCGACCAACTCTTAACCCCAATATACTAGACTGCAATTAAGTGCTAATTAACTAGGAGGATACATCATATTTCTTAATCAAAGAACAGTAACTCAGCTGGGGAGTTTGACTTTCAGATATTGATTCTCAGTTTCCAATCCTGTTTCACCTACTATGACTTAAGCAACTGGGTAATATTTGCACAAAACTGTATCTAGTGAATGAGTAAAAATTTCGTAATTGACAAACTTGATCAACACTGAATAGCAAGTATTGACCGTGGAATATTTTTGGGCATCGCCCAATTCTTTTCCTTATCATTGATAACTATGAAGGGAAATGAATCCGTGTTAACGGGAATGATACAACTGAAGAGAGAAATATTAAAATTGTATATCGTTACACTAAAATTAAAGTTCAAACATAACAGAACGTATTTATTCAATAATTTGCCCACAGGCGATGTAAACGATTACAAATAAAACACAGCTTACATAAGAAATATTTAACACTGGATTCTTATTGTCATCATTAATTATTTTGCCGTCATTTGTATTATTATTGATAGATGATGTCTGACCTGAAAGTGAATCTTTTCTCTGTTCTATTTTGATTTCTGATGCATTACAATTTTCATGTAATCCATCTAACTGATCAATTTTATTTTTCTCAAAATTATCATTCATTACATCTTCATTCATATTATTTTCATATTTATTTACAGTGATCATATTATCAGAGTCTGGATCCTTCTTTTTAGCATCATCATCAATATGAGATGAGGATGACGATGAATTCACTTGAACATTGTTTGTTGAAGATTTCAATATTTGTTCATTTAGGCTACATAATACATCAGATGGAATAATATAAGGATTTCGTTTAGGATTTAAATACAATGGTATACCGGTAATTGGATGTAGTACATGTCCACGACATTCGCTTGCTTTTGGTGGTTTAACAGGCATTTGATCCTTTAAAAAAAAATAAATGATTATAGAGATAAATACACTTGGAACAATAACAGACAAAAAAATGACCAGTTTTTTTAATTGAGCTGGTATATCGTGAATGACGCAATCGAGCTACAGTGGTTGGAATGTTTATTCTTTTAGATCCCACATGCAGCTTAGTTGGAGAGCAGTAAAACTAGAAGCTGGAATAGTACTGTTGGTTGTATTTGGGTATGAGGAAAGATGTTTCCTTGAGGAAATAGAAACCGCAGTGAAGCTGTCTTTTCCAAATAGGAAGATACAACAAAGAATAACGACTTTACAAATACCACCCCACAACATGCCTCATGGATTTCAAATGTGGGTAGTAAGGCCTTTAAATCGTGAAGCCAACGCATAGAAAACAACTCGCAGAAAGGTCGCGTGCTACTATTTGTAATTAGATGTCGCTTAGGCCCTGTGGTTACGCTTCCAGGTAGCCAAGACCATACCTAACCCTGTTTTCTTTGCAGACACCTCAATAAGTATCCTTCCACAGTCTGGGCAACCGGAAATTGTGACAACCGCCTGAATTTCGCTAACAGCACTCAAGATGACCCAAAAATAGTGGAAATTTAACAACAAATGTTTTCTCGTGACAAATTCATGCCTGTGTGACTTTGACGAAAGCGTTATTCACCACTCACAACGATTAGGTTTTGAATAAATAATCATGAATTTTCTGATAAATAAAAAATATATAGGGGGAACTCACTTGTAAATACTCAGGACAAACACCCCACCCAATTCCGTGTTGAAGACCGCGTGGATTACCACGACGATGAAGTAATAAACGATTACCCGATAAAGTAGCAGTTAGTTCCAGCTGACGACCAGAGGATATTGGAGGGTGGATAAGTGCAGCATGTTCAGCCATTCGACCAGCATTACTACGAGTTGCACTTAGCCACATCCAACCATCGCCACCTAAACGACGATATTCTTCACCACGAGTCTTCCAAACAGTATGTCTGACTGGACGAGGAGTTTTTGTACGTATAAGATTTGTTGGTAGATTAGCTGGATTTATATTACTACTACCAACACCACCATTAACTGTTGAACTAAAACGATCAAATTGTCGTAAACGCTTATCTTCTTCCCTTTGAGAAGCTGTCATACGTTCTAGAGTTAAATGACCTATTGCAACGTAAAAAAAACACTGGTAATTTTAAAAAAAAAACATTTCCACTGACCTATCCAGCATGTCAATACAATTATTGAGAGCGTAAAACCCTACACTTTACTTCTACTTGTCTGAATAAACCGTTCGTAAAGTTTAATCAAAGAACAAATCAAGTGCGAAGCATATAACTTATACATAGCAGAATTCTTAAATCTATAATCATGATGAACATTAGTACTTTAACAGATTTCACTAATAATATCAATGGAAATGGTGTAGATCACTAAATTCATAATGAACATACCAAGTGAATTGAACCAGACGCGTTGGAAACATACAGAACGAATGGATGCTTCTAATCTGGCCAACAAAAATGCTAAATCAGATGGAGACTTAGAATGTAAAACATCCTTAATCCAATTTGTACGATGAGCTCGCCAAGCTGGAGTGTAAAATGCTAGTGGAATCTAAAATGTGAAGAAAAAATTTAAACTATAGAGAATGAAGAAAACAGCTTTCAATACAATGTGGAGGAAAAATTAATTAATTAATTTAATTAAATTAAATTAATTAATTTAAATTCGGATATAAGTTTCGTTTTCATTAAAAAAAAAACATTTAGAGCAAAAAATATTGGATTTATGTGCCATACGAGGGGCAGTGAAACTACTCAGTTTCTCAAACTGAAGCATGTAGTGGTATATATATATATATATCACTCTCGTTTCTTATTCTGATTTGGCAGGAGTCAAGTGAAGTATTGCAGTCAAAGTATTCTATCTAGTGACGACATAACACATCGAGAAAAAGTCAAGAGTAAATCAAACTTCCGTTTTGTATTAGAGGATATTTTCAAAAGATTTCATATACAGTTAAGAATGAATCCCCTAACACAGCATTCACAAGTGTTACTTTTAATTAATGCTATCCATACATCCATAATACTTTTTCAACATTAGAGAATGGAATACAAAAAAGATGTAATGAAGTGAAACTTTGAGAATAAATACATATCACTCTGCTGTCAAAAAGAGTGGTGATATAAACTATTTAAATAAGATAGAATACAAAATACTTTCGATAAAGCATTCCTATGTCGCATAGACATAAATGTTCAAAGAAAATAAGAGGTTAATTAGGTATGTACACTTCAACTATGCTACTTCAAAGTATAGTGGTGAATATCTCCAGCTTTTACATGAAAATCTAGGTCGATTTCTGGAATAGCTATTTTAGCGAAGTGCTAATTGAATGATTATGCTGGTTGACTTTGAGCCAAGGGTTTGAACTCGAGCTCCATCTATTACCGTTTCAGTGAAAAGGTTGTAGATTTTCTAGCGCTAACATTCAATGTGGTTTAAAACTATGTACGCTGATCTATATCTAACTGATGAGTTAATAATAATAATAATAATAATAATAATAATAATAATAATAATAATAATAATAATAATAATTCAACTTTATAACAATAGCAGGAATGATGGAATTCTGGCTGTGCCATACAGATTTCATACAACTCACGTATGAATATATGCTGGAAATTGAATTAAATAATCTTTATGCTGTACTGAACTGTGAGATTAATAATGGGTATTTGTAAAATAGTGTATACTTATTATTATTTATTTGTTTGAACAGATAAAGAGTGGTACAAGGGGAAGCCAAAAATAAATGCTCCACCCAATAGTAATGAGGTTGTGAGGAGATAGAGAAAAGTGAGTATAATAAAAAAGTATACTTAAAAAGAGATTTATAAGTTTGGTGACAGGGGTGAGTGAAGTATGTACACATAAAATAATCCATTCATTTACCAGGTACTTAGGTATGAATTGCACTTTAATTGTGAAAGTCAATGACACCACGACTCGGTGACCCGAACCCAAGTAGATAGAGCAAGGCTCGAATCCGGAACATTGCAGACTAAACTGGAATACATTGACCACAAAATCACGGCACACAAAAAAAAGAAACAGATTGTTAAACTTCACTTACTTTTGATTCGAAATGACAAAGTGTCAATCGTAATAAATTCAACAGTTGGTGTGGACTAGCTGGCCAACATTCGTATCGAGTAAAGTCAAAATCACTGAATTGAGGTAATTCAATAACACTAGCCATCATATCTCTGACGAGTTTGAAATTATTAGACAATTCTACCGGATCGATATACGCCCACATATCTGTACATAATTCACTCACATTAAATTTATTCGACAATAACCGTCGACGTTCTTTTTCTTCCATATGCTGTGCACGTGTCAACGCAACATTTACACTATCTGATATCAGATCATCTGCAGTGACAGTACTGTTATTACCATTATTGTTATTATTATTATTTACAGCGTTTGAATTCCTTGTACCACTTGGTGTTCTTTTAAGTTCACTTAAATCATCATTTCGGTGACTATCCGGCATGGCGGTACACTCTTCTCCAGTCCAGACTCCAGACGTATATAAATTTGTCCATGATCGCCAATTTCCTTCATCTGAAAAACGATAGGCTAGTAAACAACATTCATTGGAATTCGGTAACCAATCTGGATCGATCAGCATATGTAAGGTAGATATTTCTTGAGGTTCTAATATTGTCGGTGGATAAGTTGCGACGTCATCATCCTAAAAGGATAAAATATAGTATAAGTGATGGTTAAATTTATACAACTTAAAATAAACAACATGAAAGTTAAACAATTGACTTTCTGACATAATTATACTTAGTTTAACAATCCATGTGTAATGTTATTTAAAGCTAAGAAAAACAACCTTAAGTAATAAAAAGTGATCATTATCAGTATAGGGTTGTGGAGATTATTGAGTTTCACTAAAATTACGAACCGGTCAATGTTAGACCACCATTGAAAACATGGAAGCACCGAACGACCGTTTCATTTTAGTATGGGACTCCTCAGCAGTGCATATCACAAACACCTAGACGAATCTACTAGTCGACTTCCGGTACACCTTAATAAATAACTTCTCATTTCATCTTCTCGACACATATTCGCGATTTTTAGCTTTTTTCATCATGATTGATACACTATTTCGGATTATTTGCGACTGACCGTGTTAATTCCACCTCATTGTGATAATGTGCTGTCGTAACGCAAATTTGTGCTAGGCTCCACTACATTGATTGTGACGCGCTGAATAAGAAAACCCTTATTCGCTGGCAAACAAGTGACCTATAAAGTTCATGTTTTTAAACTACTTATGATGAAATTAAATTATGTTTAATTTGTAATGAATGATTTACATACAAGTATGTTATTTTACTAGGGAAAGAAAGCCTATTTTGTTGGACAAATGACTTAACTTCCGATATCGATTCATTTGGTGAGGACGGGGACGGAAGCAAGGAAAATCATATGAGTGACTTAATTCCATGTAAAGTTAAAAATTACCCACATTGCATTACTGCAGATTTATTATCAAACGATCAGTAGTGTATCCATTCATTTTAACAATTGAAAGCGAACACTGATAGGTTACCATTTGAAAGTTTTAACTACTGATAGGTAAAGATAAGATTAATTTTGATAAAAAATATGTAGTACAAGACAACACTGACGAACGTCCTCGAGTAAAAAACTTAGATTCAGGTTCCCCTACCTATCTCCAATCACTTAACATCTTAAGACGAAAAGTCAAATCAATTAGACTAGTGGCTACATTGCAACCTGATTGATGGAATTTCAGTAGTACGAAAGGACCAGAAAAACATAATATTGGTCACTACTCAACGATCAACCAATTTTAAATGTGTCTTAAAGCTGTCGCAACCTGAATAACCTAGTGATAATGACTCAGAGTGCAGTTGAGTGACGAGGTTTCTGATCCCACAGAGAGGACCAATGTCTTTCAGGATAGTAAATATTGCTTATTAACGAGTGCTGACTAGCACGAAAGCTGAATCTGCGATCTCCTGACGGCTACTTTTAAAAACTTAACACAGTAAGAGGGGTCATATAATGAAAGCCTAGAACTGCATGAAGCTCAAGAACGAGAAAAAAAACAAATAAAGGGACTAGTTGATTAATTTAGAACCTTATTATAATAAATCCTTCAATTATGGATCATCTATTACTGACTTTTCTGTCGATACTAGAATAGTACCAAAGAATTAGTATGCGATTATTTGTAAGGATTTGAGTTGTCCTGCAGTTGGTATTCGTGATTGAAGCATGATCAGCCTTTATTGGCAAATTTTCATCCTGCACGGACAGTCTCAATACAGTTTGGTTGCAATAAGTTTCTTTAAAATACATGAATTGTGACTAGAGGTAGAATTGAGCAAAATGTGTTTTTTTCCTAACTAGGACTAGTAAGCTGAATGTACCTCCATCCTTGTGTCGATATTTAGATTGAGGCTTGAACGCAACACTTATCGCTTCAAATCTCGGCGCCTTATACATTGAAATACTGAGTCCAGATGAGCACTAACAAATTTTACAGCACATGAAACACCTAACATTACTTGACTTCGTGGTTGTCTTGGATACAATGAAATCTGATGGACACACAATCTCATTGATCAAAAGTAAAGATCCATACAAAATTAAAAACTGCCTTTATTCGGCTGATTAAGAAAATTATGCCGTTATATGAGGGAGAAATAAATAAATAGCATGACGGTCAACGGGAATAAGATTTTTATATTACGAATAAAATAGGTCCTTTTAATAATCTTTACGTAGTAGATAACATGACTACCAACAAACATATATTCATCCAAGTAATCACGTGCAGACACACTGAGATATGCTCAGAGCTGCACCCGCTATTCAAAAACTAATGATACTACCATATAGTTACAAAAATAGATGAGGTGAATAGTACAAACACGAATCTAATTGTTGAGGTGTATTTTTAATCCATGGAGTTAGCGTTTTATGACAAATTAACAAAAATACCAATAAGCTGATGAGAAACCATGGATTAAACAACGACAAACATTTCAATCATAATTGTCAAGCTCTATCAAGAAGCTCGATGAATAAACTTATCACTTTTATACTAACAGAATAACCAGTGAAAGGCTACGACCAATCAGGTAGTCTAAAGTTTAAGGGTTTGCGGAGGCATTAAATTATAGTATTGATACCTGATAAGATCGTAGATGGTTACTGCTGGGGAGTTGAATACTGGGATGAAACAACTATCCAGTGACCCTTATATTTCAATGGCTATTTAAATAAGGTCAGTCCTGCAGTATAAACTGTAGAGTGATTAAAGTTGCAGGAAAACTTGTTTTGATTTTTGATTCCAGTAGTTCGTTTCATGACTGAGGCAGTCCAGTGATGTGTGAGTACAAAGTTTAAAATAACGATCTAAATATTTGGAAGTGACCAAATATAGGGTAACAGATACTCCAAACAAATAGTTTCCTTTTAAAACAATAATACAAGGTATGATAGAACTGGGCAAAACATCATATTACAAGGACTAAGAACAAAATTTAGTTAATACCATTAAAGTTAAGAATCGAAGCGGACAGTGATGCATTATTATTATTATTATTATTATTATTATTATTATTATTATTATTATTATTATTATTATTATTATTATTATTATTATTATTTTCTCTTAATCGTGATTGCAAAATAAACAAACAAAACACTTACAGAAGTTTCTTTTACCATATGAGTAATAACTTGGTCTCCATTACCCACAATACAACTATTCTCGTCTGTAACAATCAGAGAAGCAGAAAGATCCGAAAGCTGTTTATTCAAAAGAGCCGGTAATTGTTTTGGTAAAGTTGGAAAGATAGGTACATCCGCTGATGGTAGACTAGAAGCTGCGATAGCCTACAAAAAAACACAGGTCATCTATGAGTTGTATTGATTAAAAGCCTTAAGCATTTTAAAGAGAAAACAATAAGAGATTAATTTAAACTCCTACATATCATAAATTGATTTATATAATCCGATCAGCACTAGGAAGGATTTGATACATATGACAATGGTCATTATTCATTGATCATTAAACGTAAAAATATATTAAAAGATTTTTCTCTAGTTAGCAGGGCTGGGACGCATCAGAGTAGTTTAGCTTGTCTTGTCATTGTGTCGCTGATCCTTTGTTTCGTTCGCCGACTTTAGGTGATCTCGTAAACTCTTCAAACATAGCATAACGCTACCCGGTCGGCCAAACAGAAATAGATGAAGTAGGATTAGATACTGGGATTTAGTGGCCAAATTTTGAAAGCATTGACCACTAAGCCACTATTTCTCAATTTATTGTAATTGGATAATAATATTATGCACATTTGTGGTATTGTACACATACTTTGTTAGAAGCTAAAAAATACAATCAATCTACTGAAACATTAATCAGTAGCGTTGGGATTAAACAAGCAATAAAATGACTGGAAATGAAATGCCTGGACTAGCAATATAGATGAGAGCTTTAGAAACCTTTGATAACTATACATGTATCATTTGGTACACAGACACGAGGAAATTACGGATATTACCAAGTTTTATGATTTATTATCATTAGTTTTTAAGGTCAGGAATGAAAACAGGTATGTATTATCAGATAAATTTTACCATAAAAAAAAGACTTACAAGTCTCGTTTTAGGATAATCTGATGTTTCACCGTGAGTTTTTATCGATGTAGTAGACTTTTTAAAAGAAGCTGTAAATGTTATCGAAAACAAAAACAAAGTATGATAAGAAAATTTTTACTAACTCTCACATTTCTATTATCAAAAGAAAAAGAAAACAAAAGATTAGTGCTACTTTTTCACTGTTAAGATTAAAACTCTATCGTAGAAAGAATCATAGTTGTCACAGAGCGTATGATATAAATGACACGTTACGTATCATTTACGCCTACCCACCTTGATGAAGATGGTGTTAGTCGATGCAGGACTAAGTCAGAAAAGAGCTAGAGAACAGTCTAACAGAAATGTAGCATATATTTATAAAGCCATTGGCTGCTGTTTTGAAACATGTTGGTAGATGTAGACTACCTAAATGAGGTTAGTGCAATAGACAGTGTGTGACATGACTCAGAACCGGTTATTATGTCTCAGATGCATGTTGTTTTAATCTTAACACATATATATTGGTACAAGGAGACACCAAATACATATGCGCCACACAAATCTAATTTGATATGGGTGAGGGCTTTGATGCTGCCCGGGTGCCCAAACCGAAACAGGTGGTTTTCTTAAGGGACCACACCCGGAGCTCTCGACCTGAAGGTCTGGTCCACAAGGCAGTGGAGCATCGTAAGGAGATGCTGCCCCATGGTAGCTGGTGACCAACGATTGGTTCATATGCCATTTGTTCCTTCAGGATAATGGGGCCCGTCTTCACCATTGGTTTGGAATCAGGGTTTTCCAACTTCCCTAGGTGGACTCTCCATGTCCACCGACCGGGTTAAAGCGCCAAACATTCGCTTTTCGTCCTCTCAATTTCGTAAACAACACTGGCGCCACGAAAAGACATTGAGTAGGACTTCCGTGACAGAGGTCATGTGAGAGCGTTTCGAGAGGGAGAGCGGACTCCTTCCACTCTCGGCCGTACCACGGCATTTGGGGGCAGATGTACTGTTTATTCTATTCCAGATCTTGGGCTACAATATTCCTTCATACACATCTTTACATCCTATATTTCCGTACTAATCTCGCTATCACTGTTATTACGTTATTTAGATTTCTTTACTATTCATTTTGTTCATTTAATCTCATCGTGACAAACTGGCCCAAAGCATAGATGTGTGAGACTCTACGTTTATGATCATGACTGATATAGAAATCTATTGGGACGAAAGCTGATGCTGTAGTAATAAGTAGCGATAAGGTGTAATGAAGACAACAAATATCTATTCATAGGTTCTAATAAAATAAAATTATATGTCCGAATGATGAGTCAATACAAACATTATATGAAATATAAAGTAGGATCTTAACTTTCCTCAATCTCAGCTACTCAGGTATATATTCGACTACATGACTTAAAGCTAGATTCTAAATGTGAGAGCTGGTGATACTACAACACGGCTGGCAAACAAACCGAAGTAGGTGGAGTGAGGTTCGAATTTGAGACTTAGCAACTGAAAGTTGAATGGATCAAGATAAAAGATATAAATTGGTTGAAATCCTGTGAAATAGTTAACAAAGAATTACACGACATAGTTACATATAAACAAGCTTCCTTTGTGTTATAATATGACTTCTGACAAGAAAAAAGTATCAATTCTCACTGGCGATAATTGCATTGACAGTAATCGAATAGTTTTATGTACGGCACCTATTTGAAACACCTTGCTTCCATCAAAATAATACTCGGATTTTGTTCAGCTCTGATTTCAGCTTGGTCGAAAATGTTGGTTGCATGAGTTGAGAGAAGAAATATTTCTTCAATCAATTGAAGAGAAATACTTATCCGCTCAACTTGAAGTAATAGTATCTTAATGAGAAATTCAACAAATATTAAATATATTGTTGAAAAATGCTTTATTTCATATAAGTTCGATCAGATTGTGTTACGAGGATAGTTCTGACAATTGAATCCTTGAGTCACAATTAAATCAGAGCACGCTGACTAATATGTTTCCAACTAATTAGCAATAGCGAATGAATTCAGAAGGTACTAGGTCCCTGCATGGATTTTAAATAAGCCCTGACGATTTTACAATAATATCTGTGGTGCTTCAAATATTGGAACATACTTTTGTTCGTTTCACACTTATTTTGATCCAGAGCTTATCGAATGAAGTATTGTGTTTAAGGAATACTATGCGGTGCAAGCTATAATGCTGACGACAGGAAAAAAGAAATTGAATTCAAGATGCCGATCTCAGATGATCTAACTTAATCGAATTCTTCAGCAGAAGAGGAAGCCAAACATGTAAATGCGGTTGATTGAGGTTCTGATTCAGCAGCTTAATATCCAGTGTTACAATTCCCACATTATTTCAGCTACTCCTAATAGTGGTGTTGCCAGTAGTATTCCTGAATTCACTTATGATCCTTCTCTACATGACTTAAGCGTTTGGAAGATACGATTAGAATAGAATTTTGTAGGCAGGATGATGCTCCAAAGATTAGGTTATTGGTGTGTAAGCTGAAGAGTGAACGTACAAGCTATTCTGACCACATTCAGTGGGAGTTTCCTTGAGAGCTCAGTTAAGAGACAGCAATCTAGCTATCAAATATATTCGGAGAGTCATCCATACTTTGATATTAAATATCAGGGTCTTAATATTGCTAGAGGTGAAGCTGATAATTACAGTAAGTTACCAAGAACCAACTAAATGTGAACGTTTCTAGCTGCGCTTATTGATGACTGACCAATTCAAATATTCGATATTCATCAGGGCTCTAGTTACTCCAAGGTGCTGAGATCAGAACTCCACTGAACTAAGATCCGAATATATCACTCACAACACTCAATTGCGTTGGTTCAACACCTAAACGAACTATAACACTTGAGGTACGGAGAACTTTACTCTGTTAGATGGTGAATGTAAGTCTCATTTTTTTAAAAATAGAAGTATAACCGCTTAAACATGAAATAAAAGAATAATTACACGAATAATTTTGGTGAAGAACTAACCTCGTTCAACTTCCAATACTGAATAAACATACACTGTGTCTGGACTATCAGCTGTCAAGTTGCAACTTTGATTTGAATCACTATTATTAATTGAAACTGATTTATGATTTGGTCTTGATGAACAAAAATCTAGGAAACCAGATTCAGTCAGTTTCTGTGTAATCGCCATTTCATTACGCATTCTAGGCAATAAAGCATCTAAACGATAACAAAGCCACGGTTCCCATTCAGTTGATAGTAATTCACGAATATACATTACTTGTTCAATGGACGAATAATAATAAACGCATGGTTCATTAGCATATGAAATTGATGGATTACATTGATATTTTTTATAGTTCTTTTGTTTATTAAACGTCGGCATAGGTTGACTACTATCACAATAGGATACTTTTGAAGTTAAATTGAGAGAATCGTTATTGGCAGAGTCAGTTGTGCTATTAACATTGTTATTATCATCATTATTATTGTCGTCGATATCATCCTCATCATCCTTTACTTCTGGATCATCTTCCATTAATTCACGACCATATTCCATCTCCCATGAACTATCAACAACCCCATCGTGAAATCCCATCAACTGTGGTTCACATTGACTAAAGTCAACCGGTTCACTACAATGAAACAGTACATCATTATTAGTGTAAGAGTAAACTAACAATACAACAAAATTTAAAGTTAATTTTACACATTATGTAATATTTTTTTGACTGAAAGCATTAGAAACAAACAGTTGTAAACAACGTGGGATTTAGAACAAATTTTAACTGTACTAGTTCCTTGTTAAACAGGATAGATTTCAAAACCGAAAATATGGAATATTTCATTATCCTCTTAATAACTAGGATGTGACAATTAATCACTTAGTAATAATTATTAGTGTAGTATTTAATTTGGCATACTAATGAATCAAATATATAAGTAGATTTATGTTACCAGGGCAGATTGTTGACCAGCCTTAAGTTGAAATAGGCTGATTAATCTATTTTTAACTAATTGGGATTCCATAAAATTCATATTTACATTCTAAGTAAATTCAGGTGTTTGATTACCATATATTTATTGTTGTAGTTAATAGAATATATAGTGTAAGCTCCAAATTCTTGTTCTAAGTAGGAGAGTTGAGGAAAGTATCTTATCCAAGGAATACTTGATAGTAGAACATAACAGTTTACATAAGATGTCTAATTTCCCAAAACAAGTAAGCAAGAGACATTATCTGCATCTTTTCTTTGAGAAACTATTATTGAAGGAATAAGTTTCAATAGTCCATTACTCTCATACACAATGTTTCACGATGATAGAACAAGTAATGAGATCCTCTTAACCCAATTCAGTATATTTGTTTATTTACTGATATGCAAACATTGCTACGAATGGACACCAAAATATATATATGCACCACAAAAAGTAGTTACCATTAGATTTGTATGCAGGCTGAAATACTTTCCAGGTGCCCAAACCGAAGTAGGTGGTATTTTTAGGGAGCCACGCCCAGAGCCTTTGACCCAGAAGTCTAATCCACAAGGCAGTGGGGTAACATTAAGAGATGCAGTCCCATGGTAGCCGGTGACCGAGAGTAGGTTTATATACCACTTATTTCCTCAGGATCCTGGAGCCCATATGCACCACTAGTTTGGAATCAGGGTTCCCCAACTCCCTTAGATGGCCCTTCCGTACCCACAAACCTGGTTTATGTACTATACATTCGTTTTCCGTTATCTTAATTCCGTAAGCAACACGCCCACCGTGAGCAGGCAGTGAGTAGGGATTTTCTAGAAGTGGTTATACACCCATGGCCATGAGAGAGCATTTCTAAGGGGAGAGCAAACTCTTCCCACCCTCAGACATATCAGGGCACTTAGGGACCTATATATGAGTACAATTCAAAAAAAACGCTTAAATCTACTTTTCCATGAAGAATAGTTAGATAGTGTCAAAATTTCGTCACAGCTGTAATTTAGTAGTTTGAACACTCAAAATTTATAATACCAAAATTAAATCTGCTTTGTTTAAGATTTCCCAGTTGGTGCAATAATGTAGTCATAATGTAAAACGATTAGATCAATAATTCCACAATATGGAATTATGCAGAATTAATGAGATGTATTTTTATTCATATCCAGGAAAACTTGAAAAGATGCCTCATTTTATAACACAAAATATTCTGTAACCTTGTAAATGCTGGGGTTTTGTATTAGAAGTCAAATAAACAGACTTAGAACCACTGTATTGAACCTTCACATTTACCATCAAATTACATTGACCTGAACAGCTAAACACAGAAGATTGTCAGTCATAGGAAACTACTAAGATAGACTGAATTTCTGAGTTGTGCATGAAGGGAGGCTCACAGATATGTTCCAAAAGAAGACCGATGTCAGATAAGACTGACTTATTTTGCTTTTTCTAGTTCTTTTGGTCTCTAATTGGATTGCGAAGACTTTCGAATCTCAGGGAAGCACATAACACAGTGGACACTCTAGATGCGACTCGGTAATTTGAACTTCGCAGATGACTTGGTCTTTTTTTCCTATGGATGGGAACAAATGTAGATGAACACAATCAGTGTAGCACCAGCTCCCAATGCAGTAGGCCTCAATGTTCACAAGAGGGAAGGCAAGATACTGAGATAAAAAACAGAGAGCACCAACTAAACTACATTTGATGGCAAAGCTCTGGAAGAGGTGGGAACCTTGACATACTTGGGAAGCATTATTAATAAAAAAAGAGGATCTGATACAGACTGACAAAGCGAGGAGAGAATTCCTACTACATAAGAGTACCTGAAACTCAAAAAACTATCGCACAAAGCTTAAGACAAAATTTCCAACACCAACTTTGTATGATGCCGAAACTTGAAGAACTGTCACAACCATCACCAAAGAAACACAAGCATTTATAAACGACTGTCTATGCAAGATACTCTGTATCCGTTGGTTAGGGAATATCAGCATTAATCAACCGTAGCAGACAAGCCGACTTCGATACGAGAAAGAAACCAGAAATGGATGCTGGAGGTGGATAGGGCACACAATGAAGAACTGATCAAACTGCATCGTAAAGCAATTTCTAACTTGGCATCCTCAATGAAGACGGGAAAGAGGCAGATCAAAAGGACACTTGGCGCCGGGAATTGTAGGTAAGCATCAAAAGAATGAAAAGTATTTGACAAGAACTAGAAATGAGCCCATGACAGAGTTGGCTGAGGGACCTATGTCCCATGAGAAGGAAGAGGTTTAAGTAACTGAAGAACTCCAATATGCTTAAATTCAAACTATTATAGAAAAAGTAAAAGGATGAAATTCTTGTAAGAGTTGAAAGATGGATCTGGTAAAGTATGTGAGTTGAAACAGATTCGAGTGGAGTGATTTCACTCACAGGAAGATTATTACTGACTAGGTTTTATAAACGTGGCAAACAAACACAAAACTGTGAAAGTTTGTTCGTAGGATCTTTCAATATAAAAACTTACATAATTAAACGTCGACTTATGTACCAATACAAACGACCCGCTCGATCTTTCCCAATAGGTTCTTGATAATGTGCAACTCCACTCTTCTCTGCTTCTGATAGGCAGTCTGTTACACCTGGAGTCTGTATAAAAGAGATTTAACAAAGGGAAAACGTATAAGGAATAACGTAAACTATCATCTTAACAATTAAAAATATAATACAACAAAACAGCCTGGTATATTAATTACGAATAGCCACATAATTATTAAGGAATAATTAAGTATAACGCAGAATCACTGTTGAAAGCTTGAAATTACGACTCCATTATAATAATGGTCAGAATTATAATTAGTGTGTTTATTACAAATTGAAATAAAACTGATACGATACCCGAAAGGTTTAGGCTATAAAACCTTTTGAATCTGTAAGAAAAGTGATAAAGAATCCGTTAAGGTTTGTGATTTGCTCATATGGCTTAGATAGATCAGTGGATGATTTTATGGATTTTTCATCAACTTGAAGCATGAACAAAACATCTCAAACTGATGTTTTTTTCACATAAACACAATAAATCACAAAAGTGAACCGTTAATACAAACAGATGATCACGTATGATCATCTAAGATGCTCGAACAATTGTAAATTCCAGTGATTTGCAAATTTAAAATAACATCCATTTTAATTACAATCAAATAATCTAGACTGATAGATCCTACATAAAATATCTATTTGTGATAACACTATATAAAAAGCATATATCTGTGCATAATGCATGTCTAAAAAATATCTTACTCTTTTACGAATACAGACTGGACAAATCCAACTAGTCGTTGGTACAGAGGATAGTGGAGGATTTAAACAATGTAGATGAAATACAGCCGTGCATCCGTCACAACACAACACCTCTCCGCTTCTATAAAGTAAAAAACAATGTAACAGAAATTTGTGGGGAAGTTCGCGTTGCCTGAAGAAATTAGATTAAAACTACTTAGTGTTTATGTTAATCTTTAATTTGGAAATAATGTCAGCGCTATTGTGAACGATTCTGAACCATGTCAGCTAGCATCTCCAATCATGGGTTACGATAATCATGTAGACCCCAACCAGATAATCTACATTTAACTACAAAACTCAGCCCAATTGTTGGTGATTTCATATACTGATGTCAAGTCCTGGTTAGATCACAGTTAACTTTCTTCCAACCTATTACCACACTAGCCACCATTACCCGTCGAGGTAATCGGTGGTTGAGCATACAGGATACATATATCAACTACTCCAGTTGATAAAGATTCAGTACATTTATGTACAGACAGCAAACGGAAAAAAGTATATTTCTAGGTGATATATATTAAACGTGCCATTCGGTCTTATGACTACGAAAGCCGAAACTTTAAGTTTCGATCCCCTGAATAAAATTACGAGTGAATACAACTAAGTGAATAGTAGCCTTATTAGATGTTTACTGTACACAACATTATTGGACAGTAGAAAATCGGGTTTTCTAATAATATATGTAAACATAACGAACTCTAAAATATAAACCTTTACTTACTGGTGACAAACACGACAATAATCTTCGTGTGTCATTAAACCCTCCCGAAGTATATCACCTCTGACTGGACCAGTTGCCAGGAACAAGCTCGTAAGACCACGCAAAACAGCGATGCGTGATTTGATTGGCACGAATGGATAGTCTGGATTCAAGGGAATCAGATCTGGAGGAAACAAGGCAGCAGTAAGCACTATATCCGCTCCACCTGATCCAGTGGGACCACCAATTGAACCAGCAGCTGTTGTTGTATTAGCAGCAGACAAACGAGCAGCTGCCTCGGTAGATTTAATACTAGACAAATAATTGGCTAGTAGGTACGGCCATGTGAACCGATCTAGCAAGTAAAACGTCATGTTTACTGAATCTCTGCAATCAACAGGACACATTGCAGTTCCATTAGCTTCATCTTCGCGTAACAGAGCTTTGAGGAGAACCATATGAGCTTCGGCAAGTAAGTTGGAATTTTCATCAGATATAAGAGAAGCTGCAAAGTCTTCCAACCTGAATGGAGACAACCGTAGCAAAGAACCATAACGCCGAAGTACTTCATATATAGATAAGACATCGAGAATATACTCACGAGGACACACAAGATCATTCGCTGATGATGGTAAAATAAGAGGAGGAGAACGAAACCTTAGCTCTATGGGATCCATTTCGAGCATTTTTTGAGTATGTGGGTCGTTAATAGAGGCATTAGCAACAGTTGTGCGCAGAGCATTCAAATCGTTACTGCTAGCAACACTGAGAGATTCACACTTAAGACTGGATTTGTCTTCCTCGGAATTAGAAGGGATGACAGGAGATGGAGGTGGTGGTAACATATCTAAGATAGATTGTCGGAAAGGTGACGCTGGTTCCTGATAGTCTTCCTCGTTCTGTTCATGGATGTCATCTAAGGATCTCGGATAATCGCTTTCTTGTAAAAAGCCACTTCGACCTGCACCTTTGTCATCGAGTTCACTGAGATCATCGCTATCACTAACCTCTCTAAATCCTGCTAAAGCAGCATAATTCCTTTGTTTTTTGTTTCGATTGCTGAACTCACGCTGACTACCAGACTGACAGCTTAAATTGCTATCTGAATTTACAGGAGTTTGAAATTGATGAGTCATTAACGGGTCGACTTTTGCGCTACCTCTTCTACCTTGTGCATTAGCACGTGCAGCAGCTCGTGCTTCCATTTCCTAGAGTAAAATAACCGCAAACACTTCAGGATAAAGAACAATATGAGAATTAAAAACAATTTTTTCTAAAATTATCGTTTAATATTTATTGTTCCGAACACGAAATCCGTTTTGGTAGCCAAAGATATTGTCCCACAAGACAGTCTTGGGAATCTAGGATACAGGTAACCCCATGAGTTTCCACACTTTTAGTCAGTACGTTTGAAAGTAAAACGCCGGTTTAGTGTTAATGTTTAAATGACTATTTCGAAAGAACAATGCAAATAAAGGAAACTGGATGTTCACCAGTCTTTTATTTGGAGAATATTATGCCAATGTCTGAAACTCTCTAATATCGAGATGATAGGAATTTATATGCCTTGAAGTAACAAATATGAATACCTCATCAATACTTACGCAAAATACGTAGCCTCTGAGTCATCATGTGTTCTGGACAACCTAACTGACTGACAATAATTTCCTACTCATAAAGTCAATATACCATATCTAAGTTTAACTCGACGTCCCAAACCTATGATATTACATGCATTTTTCGATAAAATGAAAAAATTATCTGGTAAGTACCAGTATTTACCGGATATTTTTAACTCCCTATTAATAAATCTCGTTATGGATTTATACTGTGACACCTGCTTCGTTGTATTTTGATGCGCATAATCTGATAATAATCTATAACGCAAAGTGAAGAAGTCCTTAAGCTCACAGTAAAGATGAATAACACACGAATAAGGTCGAGTGATCAACAACAACACAGACCCTAGAACATACATGCGTTAGCCTCAGTCAGTCAGTAATAACGTAAAACTCCGTACGTACGTACATCAGTTTGAGTTGCCATACCACATTGGCACAGAGATGCAGTTGTCCATTCAAATCCCGTAGTGGTAGAGGCGGTAAGAGTATAAGCAGTAATCGGAAACATTAGGGCTTGATGTTATTCAAGGAGTATAATACAGTGAAATAATTTTGGAAAGAGAAAAAAAGGGACACAAAGAATTCAGAAAATTAGAATTTGGGACAACACAAAGAGTGGATGCACATGCTCACACCATTGCAAACGATTTTGAGCCATGTCACTCACCGTCTCTAACCAGGTAGTCTACACCTACCAACATGGTTCAGTCCACTTGTCAGTGACTTCATGGATTTGTGACATGTTTTGGTCTGGTCGCCACTAGCTTTCTTCTAACCTATTCCTACACCATAAAACACCGCTCATCGGGCAGTCGATGGTTGGGCATACGTGTAACACATGTCCCAGCCATCTCAACTGATGAAGTTTCACTACTTCATTAATTGATTTGCCATCCTTACCTAGTACCCGTTTTCTAACAACTGCATTACTTACTCGATGGTCCCAGAATATACGAGCAATTTTTCGAAGACACCTATGATCAAATACTAGTAGCCTATGAATATCCTCTACCCTTACCGGCCATGTTTCACTACCGTAAAGTAGGACGGAACGAACTGCTGCACAGTAAACACGTCCTTTGGTTGATAGACGGATATCTCGCCTACGCCATAAATGACGCAAGTTGGAAAAAGTTAGTTGAGCCTTCTGTATCCGTGCTGAGATTTCGTCACACACCAGACCACAAGGGCTGATGAGACTTACAAGATAAGTGAGGCGGTCGACACGCTCAACTACTTCACTCCCTGACATTAGTTCGGGTGTCGATGCAACTCAATCCTAAGCAACATTTTGCATTTCGACGGGGAGGATCGCATGCCGAAAATGCTTGCATTGTTGCTTAGAGTGGTCAGAAGACTGCATTTTGTCAGCGTCTTCACCAAATAGAACTATGTCATCGGCATATTCTAAGTCAAAAAGTGAATCTCCCGGTAGAAGTTCAACCCCTGGAAAGTTAGGTGAGGAATGTGTTATCTCTAAAAGCACGTCAACGACAAAGTCAGCCTATGGTGCCACATTATATTAGCACGATCAGACAAAGAAGTCAAAACAATAGTGGCACCAATGATAATGACAAATATAGCATACAGAATATCATTTGAAAAACACGTGAAAATAACATATATAAAAAGCAACACAGAAAACCAGCTAGTAAATCTAGACCACTGAGACCAACTTTATGCCATTTTACCCAATGATTCTAAACAACGATTGCGGAAACCGCGTGGACCACGATCAGTCAGTTTGCATTTACCTATATTACATGGGAATATGTTACGTGTGACAAAACTCTTGATATGAAATTTTGACTACACCGACTGACTTGACATACTTGATGAAATCTCTGCAGAATGCAATACCTCGTTTATAAATGACGCTTAATGAATCTAAGAACAAAAGTACGGAATATAGAACTGAGAGACCCTCGTCACACTACTGGCCGCAGAAATAGTCCACGCATATTCACTGACTTATGAAAAATTTTCCACAATTTAATGTACGTATGAACACCTAGACTACTATGGTGAATTAATGACCCATTAATTACGCGCAGTCAATACGAGACACTAAAAATATTAGGAATGGTGAAAAATAATTAAACCCACACGTCTTTTCCTGGACACTTCCTCAGCATCTTCCCGCATTTTTTCCTCCTCTAGTCTTCTAAAATATTCATCATCATCCAATTCATCTTCAAGGCCTACATTAGGCTCATCTGAATCACTTGACTCTAGCCACGGCTGGCTTGGGTCAATTGGACGTTTTCGGGCTCCATTTCTACTACCCTTTGGACGTCCACGTCTTTTACTTTGTCTTCGTGCCTCAGCTGGGAAAAAATAGACATGATTTATTAGTTTCGTGTTATCAGATACATGTACAGCCACAATCAATCACTAATACTAATGGTCAAGATAAAAGTTAATCAGACTGACAATACACTTGGTTTCAATATAGTACATATTACGGAAACAAATTGCATAAATGTTAAATCAAAAGATAACTGATAACTAACGTACAATTATTTGCGGTTACTGAGGTACTATCATCATCCTTTAGCATTTTCTCATAATTTATCAAGTCGTTCTGATCGATCACATTTTGTTTGGAGTTTTCTTTGATTTGGTCCCAATTTGCGATTTCAACAGGGTTGAGAAAAACGACTTTCGTCCGTTTTTTTACACCAGCCAACGCGCTGGCAGCACCACCCCCTGCAAGGCCATTCGTGCCAGCTGATGACGAATCCATTTCGGCCTCTTTGAGAGGCAAGGTAAGAAAATCTCAAGGTCACAAAGATGGTCCAGAGAACAGGCAAGCGCGCGTCGCAATTTTTTGAAAAAGGCTGCAATCACTTAAACAAGCATAATATGAAGTTTACTCCACACCATAATCTGCACAAGTTGGAAATAACTGTGCCACTCGAATCATTTCCATTCTCTGCTGGTTGTCATTTGCCATATATTTTTACGAGTGAGATGTTTCAGTTGACAGAAGTCATGCCATTTCAGATAATCCAGTAAAGTTTATGTAATGTCAATCCGACCCTGTTAACTCGTCCTGAATTCTCCTTCAAAATTTGTCTTGAAACCTCTCTTTGGACTAGGATAACTAATCGACCATATTCTCGATTTTAACGGAAGTTCCTACAATCTCACAACTTATATCACTTGTTAAGTGCCTTTATTTTGAGTCCGTTAAGTTGTTTAAACTCGTAAAAACCCTAAAATTATGGGTAAGTACCGTCTTTCTGTCATGTATTTGATATGAGATCCTATCTTTCATGTGGTGATGCAATTTTCTCTGGTTATTTATAATGAGAAAGTTTACTCAAAGTGTATGGACGTGTAGTGGCATTGCATTTATCTTTCAGCTTGTCAGTACCCGGAGCATTATTATTTTTCGCAGGTACCTCCGGCGCGTGACAACCCCACTCAATTTGGTATCGAATTAACGTCACGTTGATTCTTGTGGGAAAGTAGTGTAGTGACATTGAACCCTAACCACACGACCATTGAAGCCCAGCATATAAATAATGAAAGGCTTTATTTTCAACAATTGACACGAAGAGAACTTCCACAATGAAGCAGGCGGGAAGGAAGGCATGGCTCATCCTTGCAGGCGTGGTCATTCTGTATAACTTGTCGTTACTCACATTAAATATATTTTTCTATCCTTAGCCTAAATGTGTTCTGCACAAACACACTCACATGACTTCCATGTAGTATTTATAGATTCTGAAGTCACATCATGACGTGTCTACGATTTAGGGATTAGGTCTATTTGAAAAAAGTGACTTATATCGTTCGTTTTATCAAACGGTGACTTCCTTGAAACTTTTTCGGAGGTGAAAAGCTCATATCTTCGTACCGTATTTTCAATATATTGAATTCAGTGTTGTATGATGTATTTCTTTTACATATCTCTAGAAGATATTCGTGGAGTTTTTCTATTACTTTAACAACACTAAAATTTTAACTTATTTACCTCATGAAAGTATATCATACCAGTCTTATGTTTCCATGTATTTGATTGTACTTGTGTCACCTGAAAAATACTATTCGGTCAAACTATCACAAAGTTGACTTGTTTATCTTTTACTTACGTATATTTAATGGTATTTTGATGTATACACATATTAAGACGTATATAGTACCCCCCAATATTTTATTGCTTAGGATGCTGAAAGTTGAATCGCGATGGCGAGTTTTAAAATGAAAAAATAATAAGTATTTTCCTTTTCTTTGAAAGAGTTGATGCAAAACAGGTGTTATTATCTCCTAATTTTCCGCATTATTTCTCCATGAAAAAAGTAAGATGAAAATCACTTTTTCATTGTGCTTTCAAAACCTACTTAATTTTTTCATTGTCACTTTGCATCGTGGGTATATCAAAATGATACATAACAAGTAAAATTGTTAAAACTCCACCTTGAGTTCCTTTAGGAATTTACCGGCCCCACGTCGAAGATGTTCTACGAGACTTCATGATGAAAGCAGAGATTTTTCAGGAATTAAGAGCTTTATATTCCTCTTACCAATCAGATCAAAAATTGACATAGATCTATGTAACGTGGAGACTATGTGGAAGATCGGGAGGACCACTTAAAAAGTTGCGGAAGTCAGAAGACACAATGTTGCGATGACAGACACAAATACAACATATTAGATCCATGCCACACAAGAAAGAGCAGCCTTAAGAGAGATATTGTTTCACTATAGTGTGGTGTTTGTATGAACTAACGGTGCATTTATATTTGCTGAACGTTTGAAATCGAGTTCTAGTACATTTGTTTGTGCTTATTTAGTGCCTCCTGACGCAAGTGCGTTATTTCTGGAATTCCTAGTTTATACTATGATTCAAATACTCCTAATCATTATTTCTCGTCACGAAGAAAAGTATAAAAGCTGAAGTTGATCGTCTAGAAACTCTTAGAACAGGAATTGACAATTCGGACGTGAGAACTAAATGCTCTGGTTGAAATAGATAACACCAGATATGAAGATATAGAGGGACAACATAGACTGGGGGAAAGGAACGAAAATGGGAGAGATTCGTAAGCCCATATCCATTCAAGAACTTGTTTATAGACGGCACAGTATTTCCACACAAACGCATACACAACGCTACATGAGTCTCGCTGAATCCACACCAACGAGAACCAGTTAGTTCATATTTGCATGAGTAAAAAATTCACAAGGTCAATGGGAGAAGTGATAACCGAGAGGGGAGCTGAAATAGCTTCAGATCACTACCTGGTTGTGACCAAGATGAAACTGAAGTTAAAGAAGCACTGTACAACAGGGAAAAAAGCATAACAAAGTTTCAATATAACCTCTTTTCGACATACTGTCGAACTCAGCGAATTAAATATCTCTCAACAACAGGTTTCAAGCTCTACAGTATCTGCAGAAAGGAGAAGAAACTACTATGGAGGACGACTGGAAAGGTATGGAAGAAGCATCAACTGCAACTCTTCAGGAGGTGTTGGGTGTCAAGAAGCACCTCCACAAAGAATGGATCCCTCTAAAAATCCTGAGTAGGATTCGTGAAAGCAAGAGGAAGAAGACAGTAACTAAAAAGCCGGACAATAACAGAGAAAGTGGAAGAGTCGGTCCTTCAAATATCCACACATCATTTTTATAGCAGCCCATACTAGTAGAATATTTTTCAGAAAAACCGTCACACTCCTACCCAGATAACTTAATCTGACAGCCTTACAGAGCGAGAACATTGTTATTTTTATTTCACCAATACCCAGTACGGGCACAGGCATATTTTGGAGACCGAGGTGACGTCGAATTTATAGGTTGTGAATACTGGTATGGCAAACTATCAGTTTCAAACAGCTTGTAGTGCTTCCTATTAAGTGACATTATGTGATGTAAGCGATCGTTACTTTCATAAAATGTTTTCTTTACAGACTATCAGGTTCATACTGTTTTGATTTTCCATAGTTTATGGATGTTGTTGATTAATGAACTGATATGTTTTAGATAATGCTCAAACGTTTTTTCACATATACTAACCAGCAAACCTTCCCAGGATATGGAAAGTTACATATCTATTCTACAGATCGCGTTTTAAGGGGTTTGTGCTTTTTGTTGGAAATATACCGGCTGTTGTTCACTGAGGCATAGACGGTTCGGGCATTCGGCGCCTAACATTGTTGCTGTCCATAGCACCTTTTATAAACAAAGAGTTCAAATTCAACCAAGTTAGGACTCAGGAATGAAGGGTTTGTAGACATACTTTGAAAATAGCCTATGTGTCCAGAAGTATTTGATCTAAGATGACAAATTATTGCTAGGGCTGATAAAAACGACGTGCGCAGCGGCGATCATGTAAGGATGCTTGGGCAGTTGCCTTCTGGTGTGATATATTCAGTAAGTCTAAGGAGATGAGCACCACTGTCGAAGAATTACAGAACTATTTGTTTTGTGTATTTATTTAAGCTACAAAAGTTTAAGTTGCTTTTAGTTGAGACGAATTTCTCTCTTTTACAGGTGTTTTTGTATTGACAACTTTATGCTACTTAGTGAGATCACCATGATTTCCTAGCCTGTTTTGCGGAATCTCCCCACTAGTCTGTTGCGTCGGTTCACTGGCGGCACAACTCGTCAGGCACGTGGATCATCTTGTTCATTACTGACTTTAGGTATTGTGATGTTTCTTGTATTTTATGTATTTTATCCACCTTAAGTATGTCAGTATATTCTTCGTCACAGACAAATTCCAGATCGAAAACTACGGTGTTTCAATGCCTCAAAGCTGGGTTGGGAATTTTGCTTACAGCACTGTCAGCGTTCAAGAGACTTGTAGTTTCTGGGGTCCTTACCTTGTCGGCTAAAAACTCTTGGATGGTTTCCACCATCACCACTGCTCCTTGTAAACAAAAATGTTCAGTGGACATTTTACCTTATCATTCTCAGCATTCATTAAACTGCATACCACGCTTAACCGAAAGTCACATCACGGTCCGCCATAGCACTGGGTTGAAGCCTTAGTTTCTAGTACCGTCTTTAAGGTTTACGGCGACACTTAAACAGTAAACACTAGCCTACAAAACAATGAAGATACGTTTGAGCGTAGAAAAATGAGTAGGAAAAAAAACAAAAAACACTTCTACAAAGCAGCAAAATATGTACAAAATCCGTCTATAAGTCTTTGGTGAGAGTATTTTGGATAGCTTTTACCGTAGAAGTACAACGAATGCTGTCTGAACATAAGTCGGAAGAAATTCTACACTTTGACATTTAACATGCAGACCAATGTAACCCTGAAGGTCAGATTAATCTTGCTATAAACAGTTTAAAAGTTTGATTGTGACATCTTTTCCCACAATATAGAAAAAAATGCACCGACGTAACTAGTAAGAGATAATCATAAAACCCCACTGGAAGCAACCATATCAATCCCAGCCAGTATATTTGAATCGCCAAACACAGGATCGACCCAAAACGCAACTACGAGTGCCACAACGCGAGATCGTTCACAAATGAATGGTCGACTGTCGCTAATATCCCACTATTTGTTAGCAAAAAGAAGCAATAGGTGTGTGTTGGGAAGGAAATAGTGAAGCAAATCTCCGAAAACGTTGAAAATAGAGAACGATGACACTAGACAAGACTCTCTGGTTTTATTTTGTGTCCTATCCTCTGAAAATGGCATATTATAAAGTAGGACAAAGAACGGTTGAAAAAATTATGTAAAGTGATGGGAAGGGGTATCACTTCGGTTAAACAACGCCG